GGTTATGCCCAAAAATTCTCAGGGAACATGAGGGATTAAATATCCCAATCCCTCAATGAACCGACTCATCCCCTGGTCAAATATCCAACGGTAAACATCTTACCATTTCTGGTTGCCAAATATCCAACGGTAATCTAAAGCACATGTGTTATCAGATGTTTTCCTATGAAAGTGGCATAACGTCGGGACCTCCATTTTCGGACACACTCACATATTGTATTGTTGGCTATCTATATCCCATAATCTATCCAGACATATCCAGACTATCCCAATGACATCAGGTGGTGATTTTTCAGTATTTACATCCCAAGTTTGCTGGTGAAATCCCAATCTTTGCTGACAAGACATCTTTGGCTGGTAAGTTCCCAATGTTGTTTTACCGATGATTGTTGGTCGATCCCGATGCATCTTGTTGATCAAATCCAATTTGACTGACTGGCTGGGAATTTGCCCATAAGGAACGAGGTTTTCACCTGGGAAAATCATCGAACTAAATGGTGGATTGCCCAGGCCACGTTGGATGAGACCGGAGGGTAGTTTAAAAAAAATCGTTGTCCAACCATATTGTTGCTGGCTTCCAAATATGGGGCTTAGTTTACTTGTTTGGTGATCTTTGATTTTCAATTACCCTCTGGTTGTTAAACATAGCTATGAACAAATGGGCCCATCTGTAGATGATTTATTATGATTTACCTAATCCTCTCCCCTTAATACTAAACACCCCCCCTCAATAATAAACACCTCAGGTAGTTTTTTTAATTATGGTGGTATTTATTATTAGGGAACCAAAGCGGACCCTAATAATAAATTTAAACCCATAATAAAAACAAAATATTTTTTTCGATTTCAAAATCAATTAAATTTCCTTTTATAACGCAATTAAACTATTGCCAAACATTGGATTTCGAAGCTTCCCCCTAATAATAAATTAAAACCCTTAATTAAAAAAACAGTTTTTTCGATTTCAAAATCAATTAATCTTCCTTTTATACCGCAATTAAATATTGCCAAAAATTGGATTTCGAAGCTTCCCCCTAATAATAAATTAAAAACCCTAATATAAAAAAACTGAAATTTTCGGACGGACCCCAATAAAAAGCACCCCGGCGTTGACTAGTTTTTATTATTAGGGGGTGAAACCCACAAATAGTAGCTTTATTTTCAAATTGTTTTCTAAAGCGGATCAATTAAAAGTCAAATTGACCAACCTGAAATTTTCCAAAATTGGAGATGGACCCTAGTTTTTATTATTCGGGGGGGGGGTTTAGTATATATAGAAAAGGGGGAAGGGATTATTGCACATACTTAGAAAATGGTGCTTGTCCATATAGCTATGTTAAATAGTCAGAGGGTACTAATTCTTTCCAACTATAATCCCTTGATATACCAAAATAAATCCCTATATATAATATAAATCCCAAAGAATCTCGTTAAAATCCCATTCAAACATATCGACCCCAGGCCTTGACAAAGATGGTCAGAGTACACAGCAGTAAAAAGGCGCTGCTCCCCGCCGTGGACCTGTTTTTTTTGTCCAGGATGGGGTGTAGTGGCACGGTGGAGGCTGTGTTGATGGGCTATTTCCATAGCTATGTTAATGGTAATTGATATATATATATATATATTGTGTATATATATATATGTATATCTATGTGTATATATATATGTATAATGCACATATTATAATCTATACATACTATATATATAATCGGATCATGATGGGAATATAACCATGATGGAATATGAATGGCATCTTAATGGCTGATAACAATTTACCCTAAACGTTTACGTATCGATGAGGACAATCACCCACTGGGGAAACCATTGTTTTTCCACATCTATGTTAGTCTACCCTAGGGCCCTAGGGTATATCCTCCATGGTATTTTCACATTACTTGATAATTAGTCGGAGACAATGGCGGTATAATGGAATATAAAACAACATTGATAACCTCTGGTGTCATGAAACGTGGCAAGCTGGGAAATCTCTTATGAATGGAGGTTTTAAATGGGAAAATTAACTGCGACTGGGAGATTTTCCATTGCACACGTTTGATTAACGGAGGATAAATCCAAGAAACATCGTGAAGAAACGATATCCACCAAAAAAAGGAGTCTAAGCACCAATTGGATTTACCACATTCTATATTCTATAGATGATTTCAGTGGTCCTGTTGTCTATGGTATCTTTGACAAAACACCTGGCCTCCCTGGGATCAGACTATCCCTCAAGAACTACATTCTGCTGGAGGGTGCACCATTGCAGAACAGTGGCAACCAACCCTGAGAAAGCATGATTCATGATGTTGTTTGTCCCTTCCCACTTCAATAACCCTCAAAAGCTCGGTTCAGCGTTGGATCTATTCTTGGCGTGGTATTTGATATTGAGAGATTTCCCAGCTTGCCACGTTTGATGACACCAGAGGTTATCAACATTGGTTTATATTCCATTATATCACCATCATACCCCCATGATCTCCCCATTATACCCCCATTATCTCCCCATCATCAAGTAATGTGAAAATACTATGGGAGATATACCCTAGGGCCCTAGGGTTGACTAACATAGATGTGGAAAAACCAATGGTTTTGCCAGATGTCGCTAGGATTCGCTAGGTATGTCTGAATCTAGGCCATCCATGGCTAAACCCCAATTGCTGGCCAAATTTAGAATCTGGAATTGGTGTACCAAACCATACAATGATCGCCCTTACCAGTTATGAATGGGATTTAAAAAAAGTCCTGTATAGAACTATAGTTGGCTTGATATCACTGAAATGAGTTCGTTTTTTTTTGCCAGTCATAACTGTTGTTATACCCTCTGGTAAACATACAAAAAGCTATTGAAAATGGTCATTTATAGTGAGTTTTCTCATTAAAAATGGTGATTTTCCAATGGCTTTGTTAAATTACCAGAGGGTAACTGCCCATGGACCCCAATCGCCAGTGGCATCCACGGCCAAGGCACAAGGCACTGCTTAAGGTGGCCCCGCCCACGTGCAGCACCGCCACCCGGGTGCGAGCCTCGCGTTGTGGGAGCTGTGTAGCATCTGGATGACCCTCTGGATGATTTTACCATAAAAACATGTTTTCTATGGAGGTTTTGATGGGAAAATCCACATATCAACGGAGGTTTTTATGGATGAAATTGTCTATAACTATTATTTTATTCATGGTGGATTTTCCAGCTTAGCCACGTTCATAGATGGCCAAAACCTGTTCAAACCGGGATTTCCGATGATGTTCGATTGCCAGAGAGTCCACTCTATAAGTTGATCCTGACGCCTCGAGTTCTGAACCTCATCCACTGGGGGTCTGAATTACGTGGGCCTACGAAACCCGACGGGTGATCACCATCTTCCCATTCAACTTCAGCAAGAAAAGGAGGGTATACTATACTTTCAGACACATCCATATTCCAACAATCATTCCCAATCTATGGGTGTGTGGGAAATTGTGTGAAGGTATACCATGGTTTTCCATGGTTTTCCCTCTCATTTTCAGACAGATGGAGCTCCATCGTTTTCCCATTAAGGTGGGGTTTTTCACTGAGGAAACATTCGGCCTCTCGGAGCTGTGCAGGAGTGAAGGTGATGTCCTCTAGTCTCAGTTCCTGGCAACTGATGGAAAAATGCTGGGTAAACTCCACATGAAAAAAACGTCTACCCACCATTGGTTTAGATGTTTTCTTATGGTGTAATTCATGATTTTCAGAATCATCATGAATTAAATGAATTATCTATTGAAGGCATGACTATGTTGTTCTTTAATCATCAACATGTCAGTGTTTCTTGCAGATGTCCCTCCAAATCTATCCAAATCTGTGGTTCAACTGGTGGCGTTGACGCGGCTGGCGATTTTTCCACAGTAGGTGCGAAAAAATGTCAGTAACGAATATTCAAGACATATCAGACATTGACATTCACTGAAAACATCTATCAAACTGGTACCAAAATGTGATCTTATAAACAGGTTGCATGTGGTCAGTGGCGAAAATATCAGACATTTCAACAAGACAGGCATTACCCTCTGGTAATTTAACATAGCCATGGAAAATTACCATTTTTAATCGGTAAACCATCTATAAATGGGCCATTTTCCATGGCTAATTATGTTAAATATCATTCTCTCAAGAATCATCCAACATCATGGGATCCGTCAGGGCGGGTCACCCTGGTTGTGCCAGCTTTCGACGTGGAACGGGACTGACGTGGAAGCATGGCATGCTGTACCAATCCTGATTTCCCATGTGTTATGAAAATTGATGAAATATGCCCAAGTTCGAATTGTTTATGGATCTGCTGGAACAAAAGGAAGTCACCATTCTCGGAACCTAATCTTGGCGGAGAGTATCGCGTGAAAATTTGAGATACCCTGAAATCCTCTGTTTCATGATGATGTTCCGCATGTATATAAATCCATGTAAATCCACCATTTCTCCACCCCAACGGCATCGCCAGCCTTTTCCAACGGTTCCTGAATCTTTGGGGCAAATTTTGCCCGTTGGCCCCGCCGGGGCACCAGCGAAGTTATGGTGACTAAACAAGCCACTTTTGAGTCCGCGGGTTCCACCCATCGCCCAACACATGAGTCTTTCCAAACATGGCACGTACGGCGTACCGCAAATTCCAATTCAATTGGGAAAAAACATGATATATATGGGGATGGGTCAAAACCCTATACCCCTGGTGGACATCAGAATAGCTTGTAAATGGGTGTGCATTGCCCTAAAAAAGGTATCTATAGGTATTGATCCGTAGTCATATAATCCATTGGAAAGTAGGGTATATCGGTATACCATGGTATACCTCATGTTCAAACAAATCCACATTGCCTAATCCAACCCTGTCATCAATGGCCCTGAAAGTCTGCATGATGACGATCGTCATCATTCATATGCGTCTACAACGTGCATTATCAACAAATATCTTGCCTCATCTATATGTATATATGTGCAGTGTATCCATTTCTATCCCAGCTGCCAGTTAACATTTTTCCATGGACACTCCACAATTTGTCATGTTCCCGACGGCGTGTTGGTATCCCCAGGGTTCATCCTAGTCATCGCTCAGACGGCTCACAAGCTCGCTTTTTCGGCCACTGACCTGGCAATCTGAGATCTCACTGCCACTGGTGACTTAAACAGATGTTGATTTACCATGATTTACCTAGAAAAACAGGGAAACTAGGGTAGTTATTGTTAACTATGAACAGTTGGCAACTATTGGTAACTATGAAACACTGCAAAAGATGGGATTGTGATGGAACAAGCCATCTACGAATCTAGTTGAACTACACCTGTAACTGGAAAATGCAGCAAAACTACTCCACGCAAAAACAAGAATTGCTGGACAAACATCCAACATGCCTGCACTTGCAAAGAGAACCCCAGGTTGTACAAAGCGCGGAAAAACTATACTGCAGTGGGCAGCAGGGGAGCAAATGGCATTGCTACAAATCTCGTGGAGGAATTCGCAGCCATCCACAGTATTTTAATGATATGTTTGTTTGCAAATATGTGTGTTGTCGTTCAATCCTTTGGCCTTTGGCGTAATTGCAGTATGATTGGGGGTTCCAATCACATCGTGGCAATGCAAAACGGCCTTAAGAGCGTCCTCAGCAGCATAGAATAAATTTTGAAAATTGGAAGGTTCCTTTTACCATAGATATCCACACCCTCACCATATACGGTTATTGTATTTCAAATCTGCACATAAACAGTATAATGTCTCGCAATATCACCATTACATCACAGTTTTGGTGCTTAATATGATTAACACTCCCATATGTTCATACACAGTGTCTCAGTCATACCAAACTTAGATTACCACAAAGATATGCTAAATCTATGTTCAAAATAGCACTACACAATTCACATCAATTCACCATTCTGATCATTTGCAACATACTCCAGAAAGACATTACCAAAAAAACATTAGGTTATCCCCACTATATCCCGTCCTTAGCTTGTCCCAGTTGTAATTTCATCACTGGTTGATCAACAAATATCCTTATCATATTCCCTCTATCACAATGACATCACCATTTTGATAGTCAAGTCCCTGCTAATTATGGTTGTATCCCATCATCTATCTATATATATATATATTAATACACATATATATATATATATACATACATATACATGTATCCCTCTAAATATCACTCTAAAATCACCATAATATATAGATTAATCAAGATTACCCGGCGGTAAACTACCATAGATGTGGAAAGTCCACCATTTCTAGATAATGTTCATCTGGAAACCATGGGTTTTCCACGTTTACCAAGCGGGTAAGCGATGATATCACCATCCGATGCACCAGACACCGTGGCCACCTTGAGACCCTTCTCCTTCAGCATGTCTTTCAGCTGCGCCACCGTCAACTTGGAGAGATCTTCTACCAGCTCCTGTGAAAATCTGCTCAGACAGGCTTACAGCAACGACAAAATAGATGGAAAAAGTATGAAAAAGTGGGAAACCTGGAGATTCTGGAGGATTTATTATATATAGGGATTTCATGGGATTATGATGGGGTTATACTGGGATTTGAAGGGACTTAATGGGATTATGATGAGACATAATGATTTAATAAATTTAACATCTATAACATAACAGTATGCTATGGAAAATCACATTTTTTAGGAGCTATGTTAAATGACCAGAGGGTGAATAGCATTTATATAGTGCAAGACTCGAAGTTAGAATGTGCATTTCGCAATCCTGAAAAAAACATCTAGTTCTCGTGAGAAAAGCCTGGGGTCAAGACTTACTGTGTAACGTCGCACCCGAACCTCCCAACTATGTCACCAAAACCAACAAATATCAATATCAACAAATCATGATCATGTTCCCTTTTGAGAACGGTCGATGTTCATTGCCAAATTGGATTCTCGCAAGAAATGGCGGCTTCTCCAGGAAAATTGGGACAGCACCAAGAGGAATGGGCTGCAAGCAGCATATCCATGATAAAAAAAACAACGGGAGCATTACCAACGATTGCAATTAGTTAATGATGCTGAACAGCGGTGAGAGCCCATGGGAACCACTTCAAAAGAGTTTCTTGTAGTCGATCACCTCTCATCACTTTCAGTTTCATCTCATCTATGAACGGTAAGAAACACACAATATTTGGTTTCATCATGAAACACGTGTGCTTTTCCAGGTCATCAGGTCATGTGTTCCCGAAAATATCCTAAAATGAAAACAAGCAGACAACAAATGTACGCCTAGGTATCACGGTTGCAGTGCTGAGATTCTGGAGCTCTAAACCAATGCTAAACGGCTCACCACAATGTCCTGATTCCTGAATTTACTCCATACAGCATGGAAACAAAAAAGTGGTAAACTTGCCAAACGCAAACAAGAGATTCAAACTATATATGTGCAGATTGATCTCCGATGCTGACGTTTCTTGCAGCTCCTCATCGTCGAGCTCTTCTGGTTCTTCTTCCACCTCCTCTGGTTCTTCTACGTCATCCTCAAAGACGAGACGGCTTTCGTCCTGATAAACATGCGCTGCCGCCGTGGGCACATGACAGTCGCTCTGGCTTTGTTGGGTTAATGAAACTGGGCTCTGACAGCGTTGAGAAATGTCTCAACCAACATATCTAAGATATGCCTAAATAATGAACTATTTAGTTTCATTGCTGAATGGTCCATCTGGTCCCTGAGCATGGATCTTCAGATTGCAGCTCAACATGTATATATATATATTAGTATATATATATAGTATATATAGGTATAACTATCTGCCAAACCGCAGCATACAACATGTTCCAAACTCTTGGTTTGCCTGGCGCTTCGAAGTCAAGGTGATCTCACTATGAATAGTGGCTGATTCAAGCACAGGTCTTTTAGCTGGCAAGCCAGCATCGCCCACATTTTCCAAAATATCACTTTACCCCCAGTAATCAATGTAAATACCAATACATGTAAAACAATCAACATGTCTGAGAGATTCTTCTCCAACTCAACATTGTTTAAACTTTATACATATATATATCTAATTATATACATACACCTATTTAAACAAATCATAGATCAAGCACAAACATTCACTCAATTCCATCTGGTGACATTTACTAACAGCAACAAAAAAACATTAGCAACATAGTAAAGACAAAACACATGATGAACCCCGGCTCAGAAACACAGAAATTAACGACAATCATATCATGGGAATATCATGCCACCCACCCCTTGCCTCGATTCCATGAGAAACTATAACATTATGTAATATTTACTGTATGATATGTATCATATATCATATATCCCAAATTCTTGATGATAGATATACCATGTGGAGGTGTCCTAAAATGATCTAAAATGGGGATACACCCCACATCATACAAGATTGATATGATATTTAGATAGATATATGACACATATTGAATCAACCATGGTGACTCGGGGTGCCTCCATGACATAGGAAGCCTCCATATCCTCTGGTAATTTGTTACATAGCTATTGAACATGGCCCTTTAGTTCGTTGATTTACCTCTTAAAAGATGGTGATTTTCCATAATTAATGATGTTAGTTACTGCTAGTTTACCAGAGGGTAGAGGGTATCTCAGCCAACCCCTCAACCCAACCGCAACGCCGCGTTGCGGTCCTGCACCTGATCCTCCGTGTTCTGCGGCGTCCTGGTCAACACCCGCAGCCATTGCCGCAGCGTCTCCGCCACTTGCTGCGCCTCCTGCGCCACGTCGGAAGCCCCTCCTTCCAGGGCCTTGAAGCGGGGGAGCCACGGTTTCATATATTGAATTCGTATGTTAAATGAATTATAGCCTCAGAAAGTCTCAGTAATAGTATCCACGGTTTTAATTAGATTGATAATGCTATGATTTATAGTCTCAGTAGCAGTAGAAAAGTATCAATCAATACCTATCATCGGAAGGTTTGCCAGCATTTTTCCACTTCGGTAGCAGGTCGATCGCCAGCATGATATCAATGGATTCATCCACATGGGAAGTCTCATAGTTTGAATTTCAGTCCCAAATCTCTTCATCCAATGAAAAGCTGCTGAAATCTCTGCTTAAGTGCCATTTTTGTCCACTATGCATTTTTTTTAGAGAAATCATCCAAGACGTCAGGGTCTTCTTTTGTTGACCAAACAGCCAAAACTATGGAAAAAATGGATATGCCGGGATGCCCCACTAGACCAAACAGCCAGAAGTTATACCAGGTATCTCCAATTTCTGGACCAACCAAGCTCTAGTATCAACTGGTTGAATCATGTTAAATCCTGATTCTCTCCAATTTGTTGATCTTCTTTTGAGTGGTGAAATATGGTGAAATATCGTGAAATCCTGATGAGCTTCGATTCCGGGATTATTAAAACCAATCTCAACTCCATTTTTCCCACAATTTTCAGAATTTTTCACCATTTCTGATATGTTTCCCCAATTTTTCGGCTGGCTTTTCGGCTTGGCCGCTAAGAACGCCAGGGCACATCCAATGCCTTCCACGCGATGGCCGCAGTCACTTGCTCTCGCAGCTGTAACAGCAGGGTGTTGCTGCGACGAAGGACACCACCCACCTGGAGCCAATGATCCAAAGTCATGCAGGTGTGCATCTTCTGGTCCTGGAAGGCGCTTGGGATTGCTAAATCACTATCACAAACACAAAAAAAATATCTAAGAATCTACATGTGTACATCATGTCATATTGTAAAACATCGGTATATATACACATATGTTTATTTGTTGCTCGTAATTACGTTCACACACACATATATATATAATTATATATACTGTATATATATATGTATATGTTTATATGTGCGTATATCCGTATATATATACATACATATACATAGAACATGTACTGTAGTACATGTGATATCATATGAAATCTATCTAGATCCAATTATCATACATGTAGATCCAACTATTAGTATACTACTAGTACACTATTACTACTATATACAGCATAGATCCAAGTGCAGTATTTGTTTTGTACCGTGCGCTCGTGATCCTTCGAATATTTTTGAAGCCTCAGCTCCAATCTCCACCAGGTAGTGCCCCCCCAGTTATGCTTGTTGGTTCATAAGCCTCCGTTAAGTAATCTTAAGTATAATCATAGTTAGCCATATTCAACCATAGTTGGTATATATAATTACTAGGTACTACTAGGTAATCTAAGTTGGTTTACAACCCCCCTTATATTTCTACCATAAACCATAGTTAATTAACCACGTTATATACATAAGTCAACTGAGCTAACTATACAGAACCACCTTGCACATGGTGCCGAGACGTGCCGAGCATCGTAGGATGTCTTGGAACGCAAACCGCCAAAGAGAGCGATTTGCCAATCGTGGATCAACGTGGTGCTGTGCCTCAGCCGCTTTTGACGGACGAGTTTCGAGGCCGTTCTGAATGGAGTCGCAAGCACAAAGCGAGAACGTTTCAATAATATGAACAGCACAAGCGCTACTAATATTCATAAGATTCATATTGTTATGTATATAATCATATATATATGTGTACATATGTTTTTCAGTACCATCAAAATCTAGCAAATGATACAAAATGCAACTTGTTGTCGGCTAACCATTTTTCCAAAGGTTCTACACAAATATCACAACTTGGGTTCACTAGCAATTTGGGAGCATGGCCATGTTTCTATGCCCACCCTTACAGTTGTTGAATTAGAATCCCGTTTTTCCTCAGTTTAGACCATACAAGTATAGCACATCTACCTCTTGACTTCTTCTGAACACATATTCATGCGTGTTTTCAAGTTTACGGCACATCAAAAATGCATGGTTCATCATTGTCAGAATCATAATCTTCATTTTTCCTCATCATCATCAGTCATCATAACAATCATGTGTGTTGCTTTATTCTTCATCATAACCAGTTTATCTTTTTACTTATTCATCATCATTTCCTGTATAAAATGCCATGTTGGGGGTTGCACTCTAGTTTGAAAAAACAAGCAAAAACATGAAAACACACAGCGAATTCTTAAGACTTCAATCTCCACCACAGCAACATGTTCAAAACCTATTAGTCATTCCATTGATATTATATTGTTAAGTTGCTAGGGATTGCCATGATTGCTTGCTTGTAATCATCCTGAATGATATTATATTGGGTGGTACAATCCAAAAACTACATGATCATTAACAAACCATCATTTATATGAAATACATCCCCATATCTTTGAAGGTCAAACATCAACGACTCTTCCCATTTCAATCCCAGGCTTTAGCTCCACTGCTGCCGGGGGCACATGTAGGTTCGATGCGTGGAGGCTGCGTCGCAGTACAACCACCAGGGATGAGTCTCGTGCGCGTCAGCGTTCACGGAGGCAGGAGACATATTGGCTTCGGCGAAGCTACTGAGCCTTGAAGAACTTGGGTCGATGGAAAGAATGTTTCAATGTGATTGGTAAAACAGGGACATCTAAAACAGGAAAGCCTCTGTTCTTTTCATGGACAAAATCCCAGGGTTTCCAAGATTTTCCAATCCGAACTTTGCCAAGGTGAGACTCGCAGTCTTCGGTGTACAAACATATGGGATTTTGATTGCAGAAAAACCATGGGTTTTTATATATAAACATTAATATACCATTGATATAGTGACCAGTTAGGTACCCTACTCCTATATCAACGTTACGGCTTTATTAGTCCATTGATCTAGGACCTAGGAGTATGGGGGGCACTCACCTATCTATTCACAATCAGGGTACCCCGGTCCCTCCTCAATGTTTGCTATATAGTAAGAGTAGCTATGCAGCTATGCATGCCATATGAATCTATGCTTAACAAATGTAAATCTATGTGTATATTATATATATATGTATGTATGTATAATTTGCCACATACAGGAATAGTAACTATGCATAATATGGCGATGAATCTAGAATATATATCTATATATGAAAGCACCAGCCCATTCAAACGAACCAGCAACTTAAAGTTCCTCTTGTTCTCTTTGGAGCGCATGGCCACGTTCCCAGGGTATGCGCTGCACAAGACGGTGGCTAAGAGCGCATCGCTGTCTTCAGCGTCCTCGATCAAGCCTGGGTCCAAAAAGAAGTCGAGGCTGGGGATATTTGGGATTGCCTCTAACAGTAACTCTTTAGGGTAATATGCCCCTCCAATTGCCACTATTTATATATATATACCCTCTGGTTATTTAACATAGCCATGGAAAATGGCCCATTTATAGATGGTTTACCTACTAAACATGGTGATTTTCCATGGCTATGTTAAATAACCAGAGGGTATATATACCCCTAATTAGTGGAAGGGCCAGAGGATTCAAGGATCCAAAATGCTGGATACATCTGGTACATTGGAATTAACTCATCACACATGATCAATACATGGGAGTTTCAATGGATCGGGTTGGGAAAATGTTGCAGAAAACATAGTTGTCCGCTCTCAAATATAGGGGGTTCCTATAGGTTTTATAGGTTTTTCAGCATTCTTCATCCAATTTTTGGGATGTTGGAAAAAACGGATTAGTGTTTCTCAGTTTTTCTCTGGTTTATGCCATTGAAAACCATCTGAAACCACCATGCAAACACTTCTTTCTCCCTTTTAAATGGTCTCGCTGCTTGGGCCATGGCTATCAACTCATGTTCTTCAGAAGGTAAACCGATATTTCGCATGCTGATACTTCACATGCAATGTAGGATGCTCCGATTACAATCGAGTAAACAAGCATCAGCATACGTTCAAGCAATAATGCACTTGTCAGAAACATAGTGAAACAAACATATTTAGGACATCGTTGTAGCTTCTCCAGCCATCCCAATTTATTTTCAAAGGTCCCGACCAGTTATGCTTGTTGGTTTACAAACCCCCATGGTACCCCAAAATGGATGGTTTATACTGGAGTTGATGGATTGAACTAGAACTTTAGTCAAATTTTTGGCGTTTTTTTTGAGGGGAAATGTACTGACGAACTGCGGCACCACCTTGTATGAATTCCAACCAGGAGCTTTCAGGCGAATCCTCCTCTTGCTCCACTTCCAACAGCGACTCCTCAAATTCTCCCCTGCGCTGCGTGACTCAGTGCACCAATGGAGCCCCACATTTGGTCATGTTTAGATATTTAAAAAAAACATAAATCCAATTTATAGATATTGAACCATCCAATTTAAAATTCGAAATCATAGCCACTTGTGCTAATTACAGCATGGTGTCCAGAAGCACCATCCCAGGTGACCTGCACGACCCGAGTTGAGCCTACCTGTCATTTAGGGGATGATACATGATGCCAAAAAACGTTTAGCGGTTTATGGTTTGGGGTTGACTGTACCACATTGTCATATCTTTAGTTGGTACATTCCCACTGATTGATTGTCAACCCCGAACCCTTCATGGTTTCTACTAGTTTCTACCACAATGTTTCACAAGGCCACACGGCCACAAGGCCAAAACCCATCTGTCATTTCAACCCTGAATATCATGAGTCATTGGTATTGTACCTTCTAGGGGGTTAGCCCATATCTCAGCAAAAACTTAGTTCGGATAAGGATCCCAATCGACTTCCTATGACATCCATCATCCAAGTACCTCTCCATATATATATATATATAATATACATACACGTATATATATATATATATATCATATGCATCCATATACTTGATCCATGTTCAACCCCAGACCGTTTGGATGTATATAAATGTTTAGTTTCTATTCATGTTCCACCAAAAAGATCTAATATGTTCACAGTTCTGTGGATCCAGTGAATATATAGAAAAGTAAAAAGTTAGTAAAATAGTGACGAATTGGTTCTTTTTGGCGGGGATATATACTATACTCCATATAAATTCATACAAATTCTATACTATACGTTTTTGGGGGCTTATATGGGCTTATATATACATATTATATATACACACATGGTAAATGCCCAGTTCGCAAACTGTTAGTTTACCATAGGGTTTAAACCAGCAAACGTCACTAACTATAGATAGTTAAGTTGATTTATACCATTTTATACCTATCATTTCCCTATGGTTTCTGCTAGATATATGGAGGTTTCCATAGTCATGGGGGTACCCCAATAGTCCTGATGGTTAGTTTACTATATGTGGGTTTCCATAGCCATGGGGCTACCCCCAAATGGATGGTTTATAAGGGAAAGACCTATGTACTGTAAACCATTTGGGCTATCCCCATGACTTATATAGGGAAACCTCCATTTATATAGGGCTATCATGGGCTATCCCCATAGTCATGGATGGTTCCATAGTCATGGTCATAGTAAATGGATCATTTTGGGCTATCCCCATGACTATGGAAACCTCCATGCCCTCTGGTAAACTAACATAACTATGGAAAATCATCATTTTTAATGGGAAAATCCACTATCACTGGCCATTTTCAATAGCTATGTTAGATTACCAGAGGGTATATCCTGATGTTTGAAACCCGCCTGGTCTCCAGCACCTCCGCACTGGCATCCCTGGTCTCCGCCGCGTCCGAAAGGGTGACGGGTCCACTTAAGGACACGCCGGCGTTGCGGAGGAGGCCGGCGCGCTTCATGTCCTGGTCCCACAATGTCCCACAAAGCCCTTCAAGAAACCATGGGGAAGGGGCCCTTTCAGTGGGATATATGATATATATATATATATATGCAATATATATATATATATGAATACAATATGTATATATATATATAGACACGCATATATTATATCAACTATACATATATATATATGATATATGTTTTGTTTATCTAAAGCAGATGGACTTATGGACTTTAAAAAGTCTATTAACTTAACTTCACATATCATGTTCCTTTCGTGTTTTTTTGTGTCACCCAACTTGACCTGTCACAACTTAGTAAAGGCTTCACATTCACTCCGCGACATTACTCTCTGGTAAAGGTACAAAAAACCTATGGAACATCAACATTAATGGGTAAATCAACTAATAAATATCTATACATAACATTAATGGGTATATAAATCAACTATAAACAATTATAAATGTGCCATTTTCAATAGCTATTTTGACATAACCAAAGGGTATTCGACTTCAGCCCCTGCTTCCAGGATCTTCCAGGGCTCCCGCAGCAAGAAAGCTTTGTCTCGCGACAGGTTGGCCAATCTGGCGCTGCTCAAGTGCTTCTCTTCCGCCCATTGGTTGGCCGCCTTGGCAGCTGAATATCCCAGCTTCATTGGTTCATGGGATCACCATTGTTTCATGGAATTATCATTGATGTTAATATTTGATTATTGATGTCAATATTGATTATGGCATAAAAAATAATGGCTATTGATGTTAACATTTGTTATTATCCATGCTATTCATGGTTATTGTTCATGTTATTTACATCAAAGTTGCATAACAATTCTTTCATATCCATTATAGAAGCAACCCCAAAAAAACAAAAAAACAATTCCTATTGAGTGCTAATAGCGTTTTTTTCTTTACATTATGGTTACTCTAATATCCAATTATATAATTACACTATATTCCCGATGGATCCAAGTAGCTTCTGGGGTGTGTTGCAGGGGGTTGGCTGTCCCATTATCGAATGTATATATCCCATTCATTAGCTAGTTATAACTAATAAATGGCCACAACTCTAGCTTAACATCACTTTCCCTCGTTGGTGGTATACCTACCCCTCTGAAAAATATGACTTCGTCAGTTGGGATGATGATTATATATTCCCAACTGAATGGAAAGTCATAAAAGTCATGTTCCAAACCACCAACCAGATCCCATGTTTTTTCCACCATCCACAGTCCACAGCCAGGTGGCGACCGGGTCGGAGCTCGTCAGCCTTTCCCACTGCAGCAGCGCCTTGGCGGCCGCCAGCGGGTCCGACCAGGCGCAGAAGGCGCGCTGGGCCTCGGCCAGGTCCCTGCGACTGCCCAGGAAAGGCGTCCTCAACGGGGGGCCCCACGAGTGGAGGTCGCTGGGGTTGGAAAACGAGGGCGTTTTATACATGTTTATCCGTTTGGGATACCGGATTTTGGAGGATTTTGGATGGATTGTAAGGTGGGTTTAGATGAAATTGCTTGGGTTTTAGGTGGGAGTACGCTTGGGGTTGTGTGTGTGTGTTAATTCAAGTTTAGTCAATCTTTGGGGTGAATGGCTGATTCATGTCATACCCATCATCATACTTGTCATACTTCACCGAGCGGAAATTTTGGGATGATTCACGATGATTCCTCGAATCCTACCAATCATCTGGTATGCGCTGGAATATTGATCTGGAAACGTAAACATAAACGTGTCATGCACATGATTTCCAAATGGGAGCGTATGGGTCGAATTTTGAAACACCACCAAACAATGAATGCATAATGAGCACGACCCATAATATATTCATACTATCAAATAGTATGGTTCTTGACCTATCACCCATCCAGCAAATTCTATGGCCTGAAGGTGGCACCTTTGATCCATGTTCAAGACATATACACTTGCAATATATATATATATATATCAACATGTATCAACAATGTATCAAATTCAAAATCATCCAATACATCTATTTGGAGTGCATCAATTTCGTGAACTTCGAATCTACAAGGACCGCTTTTTTTTGGTCCCTGAAAGCAGGTGGAGAACCCGGTCCTGCCACCAGCTGCAACCAGAAGTGCGGCCGATTGCTCTGGGATGCCCAGAATACATCCCAGCAGGGCGGCGCGGCCTGGGAGTAGGGCTCCAACAAAGAGGAACGATCATCACAAAAAAAACAGCAAAAATTCGAAGTGATGAAACGATCATCACAAAAATGAGAGCTAAGTTGGTAAAAATGTTGACACATGTTGAAACTATAGGGGATACCACCAATAGCTGGGGATATATTGGGAACCAATGACATATATACATATCTATATATATATAAGGGATGCATTGAGATTCAATAATAGGAATATAATGGGATGTAAGGTGGTACCCCAATTTGTTAGCTAAGTTGGTTTATAACTAACTCCAATGTCACTAGGGTTTATGCTACATACATCGAACTAGTTCGTGGGAGGAAGCGCATTTTTAGGGGAGACCACCAAATGGCCAAGTTGAATGTAAAGAACAACTTAAAGTTTTGATGATAAAGACGTCTGATTTTGGGATGCCCCATTTTTTCAGAGAAACTTTTTTAATCACCATGGAATCACCAGGAAATCACCAGGAAGGGGTGAATTGAGATGGCATGGACAGCCTAAAACAGTAAGATGCCTGCAATTCATGGATCACCAACATAGGAAACATCATTCATTCAGAAACGTCTGGCATTTTCTTCAATCCACTGGCGGATCAAGGAGCCCTTCAGCTGAGGCTACCCATCCCCATGGCCTAGGAGTGGTTCCAAGGGCAAACGTGCCAGTACTTCCCCAATAGGAAGCAGCACGGGGCAAACTTCTGGGTCAGGATCCGAATTGTCCTGGCTTGGGTCCAAAGTATTCGAATCTGGCATCAAATCTGATTTCTGTTAGAATTCAAATGTTCTGAATTGCGAAGGTGGTTGCAAACTTGAATGAACAGCAAAGCAAACTGCTTGATGAATGCCGCGACTCCTGCAACTGCTATCTGCCTATACCCACAAGGTGCGGCCCCATAGTTTGCTAAGTTGGTATAAAACCCCAATGGCTGTTGGGTTTATGGCTGGTCAAGCCCCCATCTATCTGGCTTTGCCTGCAGGCTACCCCAAGAAATTGATCATTTATCATCATTTCCTTATTAAGATTGACATAGAATGTGGCTATAGAAAGACCCAATCATCATCACATTGTTAGGCATTGTTAGTTATATCAAGTTATATCAAATCCCATGAATCATGTTCACTATCCCTAAGTTTGCTAAATATCTAAACTGCACATATCCAATATGTTTAATGTTTACGAATTTCCATGGTGAATCTTAGATACCTGCCACACATTCGATCTTAGCCGGTCAGTACATTTTACCTTTGATAGCAAAAGATAAAAATACTATAGTATCTACCAAAGGTTAACCCAGATATCTATGGTCATTATTGATGATTACATTGATTACCATATATATATACATATGAATATATACTGTATTAAATATTAGGTTATATATATATATGTTAATTATGTATAAATAGGTTATATATAAATATATATGTTACATAGATATATGTTATATATATATATATATTTATGTTATATATATATATAGGTTATATATATATATATTATAGGTTATATATATAATTATATATTATATCCCATATATATATATACATATGAATATATACTGTATTACATATTAGGTTATATATATATATGTTACTTATGTATAAATAGGTTATATATAAATATATATGTTACATAGATATATGTTATATATATATATGTTATATATATAGGTTATATATATATATAGGTTATATATATACAGTGTCACACTTGCTGCTCTCCGGTTGCATCTGCCTTTTTGCAACAGCAGATCTGGACTTCAACACCTTTGGTGTTATCAGAACAAACATGCATCCGCATAGCTCATCTTTCGCCTTTTAGGCCAAATGAGAGCCATCTCTGCCGGAGTGGGTTTGGCAGGAAGCGGTAAGGACACTGGATTCTGCATGAAATTTCGCAAGGCGGAATGCAACTTTGTCACATCTCGCCCGCACCCAACGCTTTCGAAAGCGTGGGCCCATTGTCTGCTGGCGAAAAATTCTCGAGGAGCTTGACCCAGTTGCCACAGAAACTCAAGCTGCTGCGGTTCACCGCCTTGGGCGGTGCGCCGCAGCTGCTGGTTTGTTCTTTTTATCCAATGCTTGAATGCACTGAAAGCACTGGTGTCTAGCGGCTGTAGCAGGCCAGTGCTGGAAGCTGGCACAAAAAAAAGCTGAAAACCTTTGCTTTTGGCAAAAGACATCAACCTTTTAGGTAGATGAGGAGATGCTGTGTCCAAAACGAGTATTGGTTTAACCATTGGAAGCCAAGGCTGGAGCGCCTCTCTCACATCTGCCAAAATTCGGATCATGCAATCTGTTGTCACCCAAGAAGATTTTCTGCGAAGAAGCCGCAACCTCGTCGGTGGCAGCGCTGCAAAACCTTTGGCGACAGTCTGGGGAAGCCTCTTCTCGCTGCAAACCAGGAAGTGCGGAAGCACCGCTTGAATGCCCGGATGACTGCAAAGCAAGGCCCCGTATGTGTAGGCGATCCTCCGCCGACTTTTGGGGACCGGCATTTGTGGACCCCCTGGCACGGGGTAAGACTTCCAGTCATTCACCACGCAACCTTTCGGACATGGTGGACAGCAAGGAACAGAAGTTTCATCGAAGTTGATCCAAACCAGTTCCTGGTGGCCAAATTTCTCGGTCACATAGGCAATGGATCTCCAGAACGCCTTCACCTGGCAAAACGAAGATTCGGGTCTCAAAAAAGCGGCAAACAAGACTTTAAAAAATGGCTCAAGTACAATGTTTTGGGGCCCTAGAAAAGCGACCCATGTGTGTCCCAAAAAGCGGCCCCAGAAACCAGGGATGCTTTCATTTTCAACCAAAAAAGGGTCCCAAAAAAGCGACCCGGCTTTTTTGCCCATTCTTGCCTTGTCCCGCAAAATGCTGGGATCCACTGTGTCAGCTGACCGCAGGCATGCCCTGCGAACACCCCACCGAGCCCGCCAACGAGCAGCCCATTTGTTAACAGTCCTGCGGCGAGGCTGTCCACAAGGTTCCACCTGAAGCGCCTTGTTCTCATAGTAATGAAACACATCTGCCGCTGATGGTGCCACGCCTTGAGAAAGGTTTTGACGCTTCACCCAACACCAAGCATCGTGTTCCAGGAGGAACTGCCGTGCAAACTTTCGGGCAGGTCCCCAAAGTGCTGAGCCTTCATCATGTAACATCAAAAAGTCCTCCCACTTGTGGTTACGAAAGAGAGCCCTGACAAAATCTGATGTTGGAAATGCTGCAGAACATTGGGGCAATCGGGACAGCCGCTGTGCCGCTCGCAGAGCCAAACTCAAATCCCAGTTTGACAAAGCATAGACGGCCAAAACTTTTCGCTCAGAGTGGCAAGAAAGGCTGCCTTTGAGCAGCGAAGCAGCTTCTCTGCGAGATTGCTGCTGGCAATTTCGTATGTGCTTTTGGTTCAGCAGAAGGGCTGCTCGGAGTTCTGTCACCTTCTTCTCTGCCAAGCAGGCCACGGCTTCGGCGGCTACTGACATGAGTAAAGGATCTACTGAAACTGTCTGGCTGAAGGTTTTGCTATACCTATATGATATGTATTGTAGCATGAGTTTACATGGCTTGTCTCCTGTTGCTATCTATTTTTGAACCTGCTTTGAGAACAATAGGTACGCCGTCGTCTACAACCCTGCTGCTTTGAACCATTCTGATTCATACAGCCAGAGCAGAGCTGCATTTTGAAACATGACAACAGTGGGCCCAGCACACCAAACGCTCAATAGCATGCCAACCCTGCCAACCATGGCTATGACATAAGAGGAATTGTTGGAAACAAAAACACTTGAGGAATGAACTCTAGTGACTGCAAATGAATCGGAAATCGGTGGCACCCCTGGCTGCAACTACAGTGATGTAGAGACAGAGACACATACACACACAAGGAGGGGCCACAAGTACGACACTGGCTCATGCTGCCGAATCAGGCCCTTTTTCTGTCCCCCACGAGTGTCTGCGATGGGCCACAAACCTGAGCTGCAGAAATGGAAGCAACAAGGCGGAGAGATATATGCAGAAAGCACCGGCAGAAACGAAGGCAATGAAATGCAATCAGAGGCAGAGGGAAAGAAGTCATACCATCATCCTCCCCCATGCCCCTCTAAATCAATGTTGTTTTTCGCAAACTGGAGACTTGCTGGCATCCAAATATAGTACAGCGTCACTGCCGCGGATCCAGGTCCAATGAAACAATCAACTTTGATTTCGGGGCGAGGGGTTTTTATATGGGGCTGGGTACTTTCTATGTTGTCGGGAGAAACATGCAAAACGGATGGACCAGTGACAGTGGCTCCTTTAACATTTAATTAGGTGCAGTCAGCACACAGCTAGACACTCGGGAATCCTGCAGCAAGAAATTTTGCTACATTTTTCCCTCCAGAGAGTATGAACATGGTGAAGCAACATGGACATGCCGGGATGTCCTTCAAATTTTCGATTCTATGCTGGAAACGGTAAATGGTCAGTCTGGACCGGAGCATCAGCAACTCACTCTCGGACCAGCACCCTTTCGGCACAAACAACGATTGCCAGTTACATGTGAGAAAAGTGGGTTGCGTCGGTCGAAAATCCAAATGGTCACTGTACAAGTTCAATGGCCGATTGATGCGTAGCGTCGCACTTTCCAACCATAATAAGGTACTGCTGACATCCAAGGCTCCATGGTCAGGTCTCCAATCATCTAAAATGACCACTTGGGACTGCGGCAAATCTAAGAGAGGATACGACCCTCGAGCTGGACAGGCGAACACCTCGGCTGCTCTGAGGAGGGCACATCAACGTCTGGCCGTCCAAAAAGGAGAGGCCACAAACAAGGAAATAAGGTCTACCATGTTAAGAATGCATGGCAAGAGTTGGGTATTGTTGGTCCCCATAGTTACAGGTTGATAGATCTCGATGGTACCAAGGCGTGAAAATCCCGTTACAAGAATCAATTCCCAGTTACTGGACTCGTCTCGGGCATAAACAAATATGTGCATAGTACTTGAGTCCCCCCGGGGGGCAGAAACTTGTCCGCAAGTGGATCTTTTTAAAAAATATGATTATTGGGAAACGGGTGAGGGTCAGAAACCATGTGATGTGAAAGCGGTAGCCAAGGCACGCGCTGGAAAATTTCACGCAATGGCTTCAAAATGAAGCTTTTGCCCTCGTTTCCGGAACCTGTGAAGCATACTGCATCTCCCTTCTTCTGCATGCCCAGCATGAGGGCCTGACGCAAATGTTGGCAAAGCTTCCCCTCCTCAATGTTATTGTTGCGGAGAATCTCGCGAGCTGCTGGTGCCCAAGTTCTGTCACAACAACACTGTCGCCCCAAGGCGGCAGTGACACGCTTCCACGTAGTTGTCTGAGAATCTGCGATGACGCGATCACATGATTCTAGTGTGCAGCACATGGCGACCTTCTCTCTGATGGTGTTGTTTGTGCGGAAGAGGTAGTTCAGCAACCTTTCATTTCCGGAATTTCGCCCATGCTGAAGGAGTTTAGCAAGCAGGACAGGGTCATCGGCAGTGAGCCCAAGTTCTTTCACTATTGGCCATAACTCCAAGTCAGAGAATTTGCATGGCCCACGCTTGCCCGCAGACCAACGCTGCAAAAAACGCTCTGCCACCTTCTCTTCAATTGCAGTACTGTCCAAGACCCCATTGATCGCATCTAGAAGAGGCGGATGCTTCCGGCCCCCACTGCACCACAACAAGGGATCTTTGTCCAAGGCGGACAGGCCCTTCTTGTCAGATGGCAACCAGAGGTACCGCAACATATGGGCATATTGCATTTTTCTGTGCTTGCTGTGGTCATCAATAGCCATGTTGGCAAAATGAGCAATGTAGCCAGCTTTCGACAACTCTTTTTTCCATCCAACCCATCGACAAGGGTGCGACAATGCTGTCGGCACATGGAAGTGCCACTGCCCACTGCCATGCGTCTCCCGGAAGACGCAGGCATGCGTCACGCAAACATCCGAACCATAGCCTGCAGCGCCAAATGCCTGCAAGACGGTCTCAAGGATGGTTTCCCTGGTGGGAGCATTGCTTGGATCCAGGTTGGAGAAGGTGAGCAGGTAAGTCTTTTGGACACATTGTGAATCTATTTGTGCTGGTCGCCCGGCATGCGCCTGTGGCTTGTTCACAGCAAGAAGCAATCGTCGAGAGAGCTCTTTTGGAACTGCGGACATTGTAGCCGCTACAAACTCGTCTTTCTCCTCCAGAAGTTCTGACATGCTGATTTTGTTGGAAGCTTTTGCCTGGATATCGTCCAAGATGATGTTGATTGAAATGTTGTGGAGCTCCTCATCGCTCTTCTCACGAATCACAGCTGCAACCAAGCCTTGCACAGTCTTATACTTACTCAGCAACTGCCAACGAATAGCGGCATCTGCATTTTCATGCCCATCATTGTCCACAGCTTCAGCAAGGGCTGCGTTTGCAGCATCAACAATTTCCGCTTCTGCAGGGCCCGCCTCACATGCATGACTCTCGCCAACTGCAACAGCTGCACTCGCAGCAAGTGGTAGAACATGACCGTCCTCACTTTCTCTTTTTTCATCATAGCATAGGGGAGGCCTTTGCTTTGACCGCAATCTCCGGCGCTTCATGCCATTGAATGATGCAAGCATACGTGTGAATTAGAATAAAGCAGCCTTCAAAAACGCATTCACATTGGCATATGTTATATGGTTGTTGATCAAATTACTTTATCCGCGAACGGCCATTCGTCGTGAATAAACATGTTACTTTCGCGAAACTTTCGCAAACTCCAGTTCATCTTTCGCGGAGCCCATGTTGGGCAACAACGCCTCTTATGAAGATTCGTTCACCACCTGCCAAAGTACGCCACAGAATCACGGATCACTTCTTGATTGCCTTTTAAACATGCAGCTAGCATCACGGAATCCCTTCTCAGGACAGATTGTTGCTGACTCGGTTTGTTTTTGGCAAGGTTTACTGACCCACCCCCTTCAACATGGACTTCGACTTTCGCCCGCTCCGTCGCAGAACTTTCGCGGACCGTTCGCGGAAATTTCCCTCTTCACAGACCCTGGCCATCAGCGGGGGTCGCATCGAAGGAAAAGCGAACACCAGGGGCCTTGGTGTTTGGCTCTTGCAAAGCCTCCCTTTTGGAAACTTGGCTGCTGCATGTGGGGCTTCTTTCTTGACACTTCAAAAAACATCATTAGGCAGTGACAGCGGCAGGTGCAAGGATGTGCTTCAGGACCATGGTGTTTGGCTGTCGCGAAGCGTCACCTTTGGAAACTCGGCTGCTACCTATGAAGCCACCACACAGGCAACTGAACCAGAACCAAACCGAAATTCTCCGGTGCCCTTCTCCTGCCAGACCCCGGGCGGCAGTGGGTGGCAGCCCGTGACAGAATGAGGACAATGTCCAACGTTCGCGAAACTTTCGCGGATGAAAAGGTTACTTTCGCGAACGCGAAAAAAAACTTTCGCACGGGTTTCCAGCATAACATGAACGGTCTTCGCAATTAAAACTCTTTGCAAGGACCTTTAGATCGATTACCATATAGGTTGTGACTCCTGGGCTGTTTTCTACAAGGCTGCTCAAAAAAAAACTGCGGCTGACAATGCGGCTGCAACTGGACAATGTGTAAGATATACCATACCATAGCTCAGCTCAAGTAGATCAAATATTCCGCCATCATTCCGCCATTTCTTACCTGCTTATCTCATTCATTGATTCATACTGCATTCATACTGCGAGTCATACTTTGAGTCAAACTGATTCTGTCACTTCAGTCTGGCGCAGTCAGAAGTGATAGTGCTGGCCGGGCTAGGGAGTAGAGGTCAAGGTCAGAGAGTATGGAGACAGAGACAGACAGAGACGGAGAGAACAAGGAAGAGAGAACAGACAAGACAAACAGCCACAAAGACAACGAGCAGGACAGGGAGAGAGAGAGGGCAAGCAGAAGAGAGGGAAACAAGGCGAAAGAAAGCAAGAGAAAGAGAGAAAGAGTACCAAAAAAGGGGCAACAGCAGCACCAACAACGACACCAACAGCAAGAACAATCACAAGCAGCAAGAACAACAGCGACAGGAAGACAAAAGCAGCAACAGCCACCAGAAGCAACAGCAACCGGCAGCAGCAGCAGCAACCAGCAGCAGCAGCAGCAACCAGCAGAAGCAGCCAGGCCAGCAACAAACAACAGCGACAGCAGCAGCAACACCAGCAGCAGTAGCAGCAAGCAGCAACCACAAGCAAGCCAAGGGGCCGCTGCGTGTAGAGCTCGAGGTCGCTGTAGGCACCTGCACAGGGCGACAATGGCAGGAAAACAAACGAGGGGAGAAACAGGGGAGAGATACAAGAAGACAGGGACAAAGACCACAAGGAGGACAAGACACAAACGAAAGAAACGCAGGCGCCCTAGCCACGGCCAGCCGCAACAACCCAATGCCAAATCTCATCTACTTGCAAACTTAGGAGGAAAATCTAGCCAACAAGTGCCAATATGATGTGAACCCTCCCTCAAGGTGATGGCGCTGAAGCCGATGGCCTCTGCCATAGCAACCCGCATCCACCAAGCTGCCGCATCCACCACAGCCGCCGCATCCACGAGCAACCGCCACAGCCAGCAGCAGCCGCCACAGCCGCTGCATCCACGAGCAGCCGCCATAGCAGCAGCAGCCGCCACAGCCGCCACAGCCGCCACAGCCGCCAGCAGCCGAGCTGCCGCCACATCCGGCAATATGCTGAAAATTGTGTGATGAGATGATAAGGATGAGGCTCCGGGAGGTGAGTGTCAATTTGCGTGGTGCAATCCTAATGTAAATGGAGCAATCAGGGTAAGGGGTGGCGAAATAAGGGTAAGACTTCCAGAGTGCAATCCCAATGTAAGTGAAGCAAATAAGGTTAAGGATTCGAAAAATACAGGGAAGACTTCCGGACTGCAATCCTAATGGAATTGGAGCAAATAAGGTTAAGAACCTGGAAATTCACAATCAAAAGAATTAGATGATTCTATTGATTTTCTTATTATGTGGACTTTCTTAACCTTATTTTGCTCCGTGCCTATAGGATTTGCCCAACAAGCTCCTAACAGTATTTTGAAATGTCTTAACCTTATTTGGCTCCGTGCCTATGGGATTTGCTCAACAAGCTCCTAACAGTATTTTGAAATGTTTTAACTTTATTTTGCTCCGTGTCTATAGGATTTGGCTCCAAAATCTGTTCTCCACACCAAGGGTAAAATGGCAAGGGCGGAACATTTGATCAGCTCAAACCGCATGGCCATGAGAATTCTGACTTTGCCAGAGGCCGCAAAAGATAAAACACCCAAAGTGATTTCGGCACATGAAATTGGGATTGGCGAAGGATTCAACATGGGAACCTTTGAACCTGATGCCTTGATTGAATTCACATTTGTCTCTCCTTGCAACATTTTCGAACGTAACACTCCCTGACATGTCGCCCTTGGCTTTCCAAACAGTCACTTTGATGACCCAATAAGCGGCTTTTTTCAAACAGGCGCAAGGATGTTGACTTCAACGCCTTCGGCGTATGCATCCGCATAGCTCACCTTCTGCTTTTGAAGAAAATGAGGACGATTTCTGCTGCAGCTCAACCGCATCCTTTTCGGAAGCATGAATGCTGTAACCTCACTCAGCTGCACGGCGAGCAATGAGCCAAGCCAGGTCACCCGTCGTAAGCCTTGGGCTTTTTTCATGAGACGAGATCTGCGGCGAACCTGGCAAGAAAGATATTGACAGGCGCGCATGCAGTCACATGGCCAACGTTTGTTGACATGCATCAACCCTGGCAAGCTCAGGGCTCATGTCCCCCACAAGAATGAGAATTTGAGTGGCACCTGCCTCCTTGCGAATCTCTTTGGTCGATTCTTTCAGCTGCTGCTTCAGCACGGCCCTTGCTGCGCGTAAGGCTGGCAACTGGTCTTGTCCACGAGTGAGTGGTGCAGCTCCAGCTGGCACTGCGGCAGCTGGTGCAGTGGCAGCTGCATCATCCGACATGGTAAAAAGAGAAGTAGCTGAACCACGGTGGGTTCCAAACGCTTGAGGCTTTTGTAGCAAAAAGGCTGCAGAACCCATTGGTCATCCCAGCTGCCCTGATGCATTTCCTGTACCATCTGCGTTGCATGTGAAGATGTTTGGGTAGTTTTCTGGTAAAAGTATCAAGAAACAGTTTATAAATATATATTATGTGAACCTGTAGTGTTTATACTATGACAAGCACGGCTTGGAACCATCACTGATACAGGGCCTACATTTCCAGCCCCCTAAAATGAAACCTTGGAAGCTTCAAGGCCATGGGCCCTCACAGTATATATATTATAGGTTATATATATAATTATATATTATATCCCATATATATATATACATATGAATATATACTGTATTACATATTAGGTTTTATATATATATATATATATGTTACTTATGTATAAATAGGTTATATATATATATGTTACATAGATATATGTTATATATATATATATATGTTATATATATATAGGTTATATATATATATATTATAGGATATAAACATCATTGACCCTGGCCATCTGAAACTCGCTGCGTTTTTTGAACATTGCCCAGCCATGCCCAGCCATGCCCAGCCATGCCCAGCCCAGGTGCCACTGCATGGATCCCGACCAACTGCTCCATGGCCGTCTCGACCGCTGCCAGTGGTGGTGGATCAATGGCCGACGCCAGGAAGACTTGGGGATCACGACCCAGGGCCACCGCCTGGCTACGGATGGCACCGTTTCAAAAGGTCGGGAAAGAAAGATTGGGGTATAGAATATAGGGCAAATATCTATGGCAAAATAGGGTTTTCATGGGTGTTATACTGTTTAATGTTTCATATCATCAACTACGGATTGATATATCTGGATTTCACATGAAGTAGAAGGTCTTGTCTGTTGATAATATGACTTTTTAGAGAAACAAAATATCGCTGAAACTGCGCCAACAAATCCCACGATCTTTATCCTGGCCCATTGACTGTTTAGATTACACCAACTAATCATGAGTGTGTCTGGACATGGGGTATATATCTTCAATGATGATTAACCAAGTGGATTTAGGGCTACCCTATTTTCAGACAAACCCATATAGTCAGAATAAAAAACAAGCGTACTGTACCGAAGCTCCAACCATCCAGGTGTTCGGTGTGTATTCTCATGCTTGTGATTTACCTGCTCCCTCTTTTAAGGGGGCACGGCATTCAGTTGCTCAACCCAGCTCTGTAATTCATCTCTTTCTACTGGTTCATATGGGATCCCATATTGGACCACAATAAGCCCCATGAAACCAGTTCATCAATTGTATATTGGTACAGTAAGAGGATTTCTAAGCATTGTGTATATCTATATATCCACATAATACACATATATTATACATTTACAGTAATTTTACGTAATTTTACTTACCCTCTGGTTATTTAACATAGCCATGGTATAGATGGCCCATTTATAGATGGTTTACCTATTAATAGCATGGTGATTTTCCATGGCTATGTTAAATAACCAGAGGGTACATGTAAACACCCGTAAAAACTAGACTAAACATACATTTTCTGATTGTTGGTCCCTGCAAGTTGGTGCCAGTTTCACTAGAGGCCCCCTTGGAGATCCAGCGACCGCTTTAATGAAAACCAATCACCAACACGTAGGCTTTAAATAGCATATTATTATTATTATTATTAAATCACCAGCCATATTCAAAATTATCATATATCTTAACCTCTTAACTGAAAAATCCAAAAAACACACACAACATGACCAACTTCGAAGCAGTTCTTTCATCCCTTCCACCTGTAGGCAGCTCTGCGCCAGATCGCAGCGTTGCATCTCGGGCGACGGCTGCAACGGCAAGGCATCGAACTGCTCGCGGCTGTAGAGACCTCCGGGGAGCCGTGTCCGTCCGGAGCCGAGGTCGCCCATGGTTGAAAGGTCGAAAATATGGCAAATGACAAATACATATATATATATGTATATATATATATATATTTATTTATCTATTTATTTATCTATTTATTTATTTATTGACTGATTATGAGTGGAAATGGAAGCAGTTTTAAGTTGACCACAGGCTCCAGGACCAATTGATTTTCCATATATATATATATACATATATTTCCAAATCATTCTACACATTCAAACATGGATCATGATCATTCATACATGATTACTATCTCCTGTAATTCAATGGCCATGGATTAGGCAATCCCCCCACACCCCAACGTCAAGTCCAAGCAACGCAGCAGCCGCCCTTGGCGCACGCGCCCCGCGCGGCCGCGGCGTTGCACGGCGCCGCTCTGCGAGACCCAGACGGTGTCCAGGGACGACAGACGACGTTTGGGGTCGTAGGTCAACTCCCGTTGCCTCACCAAGATCCGTTAAAAAAGGACTGGTACCATAGAAAATGCCAGGAAAAAATGGAGATATCATGATAAGAACAGGTATATATCATGACATGATACATCAAAAGTATCATGAAAATATGATGATATCTGATTCTAAATGAGGTTCATTGGGTTGGTTCATGGAAAAGCCACTGGCGGCCGCGCGACAAGCCGGAGTCAATGACCACTTCCACGTCGCCGATGGTCACGGAACTCTCAGCAATGTTGGTGCCCAAGATCACCTGGCACCATGGTGGCACCATGGTGGCACCATGGTGGGAAGGGATTTCTGGAATTTTCACCTGGAAAATAGGACGATTCATCAACCACTGGGATTTTTCATGCGAGATCAACCATCAAATGCCACCAAGTAGTTCCGTTCGTGGGTACAGAATTCCGTTCGTTCCAAGTCATTACTGGTGAGGGTATGAAATGCAACTTACCATAGTCATCCATAGCCACAGTCTGTGTTGTGAGTGCCATTGCTTCCTTCACATCCCACAACACATTCCTGGGCCTAGGCTGGTTGCACCTTCATTTATGGTGAACTCGGGTGATGCGCAAAACAGTCCAAATGATGATGTACTCTGCATATCTCTGCAGTCTAATATTTCATGAGATTCCCGCCCGTACTGTTTGTTGTTCATGATCCATACATGATCAATTGTCAGTGCAATCCTACGCATTATTTTTGTTGATATTAACTTGGTTAAGTCAAATCGTACCAAATCGTACTAATGATTAAATTTCCCACCCCAAAAAAGTGACTGAACTCAACATTCCAGCCTTCACCTTTCCCTTCGGAGGCTTCCTGCGCTTGCGTGCTTTTCATGACCCTTTCCGGCCATGGCAGACGAACCATGAGTTTTCATTCGCTTCCATGTCTTAATTACATGTAGCAGTACTTTACTGCACCTCCACAATAAAAAAGCACCCACGAACCTACCATTCAACAAGGTTTACTCAGCCGACCACCCACTGTCCTGAAGACTTGCTGCTGCCTTTCCTTCGGTAGGGTGGAATGCAGCCTCAAAGAGCGAAGACTAAAAGCAAAGGAGGGACAAATTGGAAGAGGCAGAATTTGAATAGAAATAGTGTTTTGAATTTCGTAATTTAATCTCTAATACAATATGTATGCTATATATAGTCTTGTCTATTTGTAACTGATCCTTTTCTATTATCTAACTAGCCCTTTGAGATCAAGGGGGAGATGGGGGTTGACTCGTTGTGCTATGGCAAGCAGTTCTAGTGATGACCCTGCTGGCACGAGCACGAGCAGTTCTGCTTCAAGCTTATATGAGGAGATTGATGGCCAGGGTGGGAGAAGAATGGGGATTGGTGGTAGGGTTGTGGAATCCATGCCCCAACAAATCAATATGACCCAATGATCCAACATACATTGACACCAATGATATTACTGCGATATTGACATGATCCAAAAGGTCACTTCCAAATTGGAAAAGAGTCACATACAAATAGATGAGATTATATATATATACACACTGTATGTTGAACAATTAAACATTATTTGCATACCCATAATAGTGCCCTAATAGTCCATTCCTCGTATGGGCCCGCAAAAGGAATAGATATTCCATTGAACGCATCTAAACAAAAATACATATTGAGAACGGATTCAACAGAAATCCATGCAGGATCTATCCATATTTGGACGATCGTCCCACTTAGATCTTAGATGATCTTAGTAAGTGGTAAGTAATAAGTCCTCGGTTCGTGGGTTCTCCCATCTATACACGGACTATTAAGTACTAATAGATAATAATAATTATTATTTTTTTTTTTAACAAGACTAGATCGATGCGTGGGTTTATCCAAGGATTTGTTTATAGATAATTCTTGGTACAACCATCCACATTTTTGGGGACCCAACGGATGGAGTTACCCCATTTATGAATGGGTGAACTCGTCCCAGCTACTAACATTTACTAACCAGTTGCATCCGCCTAGACCCTCCAAATACCCCAAAGAAATGGTTAACGTATTGAAACTGTGTGGTAAGACATCATGTTTATGAGTACTAAGCGGGTTATCCCAGTCATAAATGGATTCAAATCTGAGTTCCTAACTCAGTAACCCTCCCAGCTTCCAGTTCCTATCAGTTCCTCACCCCTTCAGCGTTACCCAGCCACGGAATGGCCCAGATCTTCGAGGCCTGCGCTCCCTGCGCCAGCCTTTCCTCCATCTGCCGGATCTCCCACCAACCAGGTAAGAAGCACAGGATGGATCCTGTTGGGAGCCAGCCGGCCCCTGGAAAAGTCCCTGGAAAACCCGGAACTTGAAGGAACCAGCGGAAGAAACCAGAGGAACGGAACCGGGGCACAACCAAACAAGACCGGTGGTTGTTCAAGAGTCTTTTGCAGTCCAAAAACTTGATAAGAACATTTCTTCCATGTGCGACAGTTGGTGGTATGGTCATCCACGTCTCAGTGAAGGCAATGACCAGACTGTTTGAGTGTTCTTCTTTCTTTTGATCAGGGTTGTAGACCCTGTAACCCCTGACACAACAGTTGTATATAATATATAGCACTACACATTTGTGGCTTTGACCGCAAGCCCATTCAGTCAAGAATGGCATCAATGTGGAAACTGCCAGCTCAAAAACGATTCCACTGCAGATTCTGACTTGAAGTTCCAAATAAGCCTGACCATTTGCCAGGTAACGTATACTATAAATATATATGTATGTATGTACAAGTAATAATAATAATGGTGATGATGTACTCAATAGAATATGTTTATATTACATACATATACACTGAATACAAAGGATACTTATATTGTATTATAATAATAATGACTATCTTTACTATGATAGTAATATTAAGAATGACAACAACATAATAATAGCAACAACATGAACATATAAACAACTAATACTAGCAAAGATAATGATAATACTTAGAAAACCATACTATATAACATGCTATATATTATCATACTGTATGTATATATGTATATATATATATATTGTACATTATAATATATATATATATAGGGTAAATAAATAAACAGAAAAAAATAAACACATATTACATCAAACACATATGTTTGTATATTCTATTTACTGTATTAATATTGTATGTTATATATGTATATTCTATGTTCTATGTCAAATTAAATATTGTATATCATTTAATTCATATGTATATATATATACATTAGATATGATGTATGACTTGTAATGGTATATCCATATTATGTAGTACCGAATTACATGGAAGAACAAACACATATATATATATATGATTCCACATATCATAGATGTATATATGTTATATGTTATATATATATATATATATTGCACTCGGCTCCCACGCTGCAGATCCAGCCATCATGCCCTTCCGTCAGCGCAGGTCCTACGTCACTGCGGTTCCTTTGGCTCATCTCCTCCACCACGCTGCAAATCGACGAATCCATGATGTCCAAGCACTTCTCCATGTCCACATCATTGTCCTGACGAAGAATAATATACTTAGCCATACATTTTGGTAAAGCACGCTGCAAAGGGCTTACACCTTCAAAGTCTCTCATTCACCTCCAACAAAATGGTGTTTATACACAAACAAAATACTGTTTTGGCCCATTTTGTTGCCTTGCATTCTTCCAACATGCTATTGACTCTTGATGCTACGCTGTTTTCATTCTGAAGTAGCTTGCCACAGGCTCTTGACCCTACGATCTTATCTTTCTCAAATAACTTTCAACATGCTCTTGATGCTACGCTCTTTTCTTTCTCAAGTAATTCTAGCGTTGGGACACGCTGGTTTGTACACGAAAGTCACTCAGCAAAGAATAAAAAAATGATTTAAAAAGCCACGTCAAACTTCATAATCATTCTTCCATCATGGAAAACAAAGAAAGTTAGTTCGGAAAGGCCTCAAAATGTGGAAGAAAAACATTAGTGTAGTGCAAATGCCATGCAAATCTATTCATGACAACCAAAAAAATGCGCGGGTTTCTACCAGCCCGACGCGTACCAAAATGGCCCCCATATAGTCGTCACCGAGGTTCCTCTGCAGCAGACCTGGACTGCTTCTCTGAGCTGAGAAGAGCATTGGTGAAAACAAAGTCCTGAAAGAAGGGATCTTCCAAGTGAATCTCTTCCTCAGTTGGCAATTTTCGTCAAGACCTCCCGGATGGTCCCTAAGTCATAGCTGGTTAATGGATCATATAATATGGTAATTTCATAGGTTTTGACCCATCCGCAATTGGCTGTGGCACGCTGTGGCATGCTGTGGCATGCTGTGTGGCATGCTATGACTGCAAAAATTGTATTTCTTCCATGTTTCAATGATCTTCAATCAAACAAACAAAGTATAGGGCTGCAAAAAAATATTGTTAATCCAAGAAAATATCGCCAAATCCTCAAGAAAGATGGTTTCAGATCCTCAAGCTGACCCTGCTTTATGGCTTGCTATGCATATATCACCGGGTGACTACTAAATGATACAACGATACACATGATACCTTATCCAATCATTCTCAGTTTCATGGTTCGTCACTTCATCATCCTCAGTCTTATGGTTCGTGACTTCAAACTATGTCTTTGTATGATATGTCTTTGCATACTACAAATACTACTATATAACTAAAAATAATACTAATAATATGTCATATACTACTAAGACTAATACTACTAATAATATGTCATATGTATGTTTTTGTTTTTAATGTATCTGGGACCCACATGACCTTGATTGTGGATGATGAAGCCTCCATTTTACGGGTCAAATGGGTAGGATACGAAACATCTCTGAGTCCCAAATCCCAACTTCACAGGAAAGCGTCCACTGGAAAGAGAGACTCCGATTGCACTTGCAGTGCGGGACAGTTGAAGTACTCCGAAAACGAAGTCCTTGGTAAAACGTCACTGCGAGTCCGGTGCAAACAAAATTCAGTCCAACACCCAACCATAAAACCTACACATGTTTCTGGAGTACAACTCATGTTCTTTTTTTTCTGTGGTGTCAGAAGAAAGCGACTCTGGGTTTTGTTCCACAGAGCCAAAAGTACATATGTAACTACATTATTCTATAGTTCTTGCTGATTTGACAACATCAACTACCATCTGGTTATTTAACATAACCGTGGAAAATCACAATTTTTAATAGGTAAACCATCTATAAATGGGTCATTTTCCAGTTCGCTATGTTAAATAACCAGAAACTATCATTTTGGCCTCTAAAGATACCTTGTGTTGTTGGTTAATCTCTACTTGAGGACAACTGGATCATGTGTAGTGCCCTCTGGTAATTTATATAACAATTTGCAATGGAGGTGGCCTATGAAAATGGGTGATTTACATTCAGAATGTTGATTGTCCATAACTACGTTAAATTACAGGAGAGTATAGGGCGGAGTCACAAACTCTCAGAACAAAAAATGTCCATCCATTTTTTTCCGAAAATACATAGGGACATTGACATCATCATTATCCCCACAAAATATTCATACATCTTCATTGCATGTCTTAGGAAAATCAATCCATATTCCATAGATCATCCATAATTTTCCACGCCACAAACATCCATAATTTCAATATCAAACATAAATATAATTCACATCTGGGAAACTCCCAGTAGCTCCTTCGCTCCCTCCCTTCACCGCTGGATTTTTCACCAGATTCCATAGATATCAATCATATCAGAAAATCTTCCCATAATTCCCTATCAAAAAATCACAAAACAACGTGTATATATATATATATATGCAATCCGCCAGCAAGATCCACATCATTCACAATTCACCATGAAAAATGATCCCTCAAAAATCCATATCATTTCCCATCTTCAAACCATTTTCCACAAAACAACCCGACGCCGAGCCGCACGTCCAGGGTGGCGCTCATCAGCAGCAGCCGCATGTCCGGCCGCGCAGGCAGCAGCTCCCGGAGCAGGATCAGCAGGAAGTCCTTGGGACATTGACTGGGACAAAATGATGATAAAAACCCCGGTTTACTTCATTGGATTCCGGGACAATTTACAGGAAACCCCCATATTTACTGGTAAAAACTATGGTTTCCTGTAGATTTTCCTTTAAACCAATCTAATGATTAATGGTGGATAATATGGCTTAATATGGGTTAATAGGGTGGATAGCCCAAGTTAATCCGCCGGCCTGCCGGCGTGTCTGATTGGAAGGTGTTGTTTTTGTTTCTGTTCTTGGTTTGTGTTTGTTTCTGTTCTTAGCTTGTACTTGTTCCTTTGTTCTCTTGCCGCGCGTTTTTTCTTCGTCTGAATCAAAGTCACCCCTCCTCCCTTCCACAACTTGTGCACTAGTACTATGTACTTGTACTGGTACTAGTACTAGTACTAGTACTAGTAGTAGTAGTACTAGTAGTAGTAGTAGTAGTAGTAGTAGTACTAGTAGTAGTAGTAGTAGTCGTAGTAGTCGTAGTAGTAGTCGTAGTCGTAGTAGTCGTAGTAGTCGTAGTAGTCGTAGTAGTCGTAGTAGTCGTAGTAGTCGTAGTAGTCGTAGTATAGTCGTAGTAGTTGTAGTAGTCGTAGTAGTCGTAGTAGTCGTAGTAGTCGTAGTAGTCGTAGTAGTCGTAGTAGTCGTAGTAGTCGTAGTAGTCGTAGTAGTCGTAGTAGTAGTAGTAGTAGACCACCACTCCTACTCCAACTCCTACGCCTACTCGACGCCTACTCCGACATCGACTCCTCAGAAGCTTCTACACACAGAAGCTTTTACGCACGGAAGCTTTTACACGCAGAAACTTTTACACACAGAAGCTTTTACACACAGAACATTTTGCACACAGAACCTTTTACACACAGAAGCTTTTACTCACAGAAGCTTGACACACACACAGAAGCTTTTACACACAGACGCTTTTAAAGACAGATGCTTTTGCACACCGAAGCTGCTACACACCGAAGCTGCTACACACGGAAGCTTTTACACACAGAACCTCTTACACACAGACACTTTTACACACAGAAGCTTTTACACACAAACGCTTTTACACATGGAAGCTTTTACACACAAAAGCTTTTACACACAGACACTTTTACACACAGGCGCTTTTACACACCGAAGCTTTTACACACAGAAGCTTTTACTCACAGACACTTTTACACACAGAAGCTTTTACACACAGAACCTTTTACACACAGAAGCTTTCCACACACACACACAAGCTATTGCACACAGAAGCTCTTACACATAGACACTTTTACACACAGAAGCTTTTACTCACAGAAGCTTTACACACACACAGAAGCTTTTACACACAGACGCTTTTACACACAGACGCTTTTACAGACAGATGCTTTTACACACCGAAGCTGCTACACACGGAAGCTCTTACACACAGAACCTTTTGCACACAGAACCTTTTACACACAGAAGCTTTTACTCAAAGAAACTTTACACACACAGAAGCTTTTACACACAGACGCTTTTACAGACAGATGCTTTTACACACCGAAGCTGCTACACACGGAAGCTTTTACACACAGGACCTTTTACACACAGAAGCTCTTACACACAGACACTTTTACACACAGAAGCTTTTACACGCAAACGCTTTTACACATGGAAGCTTTTACACGCAAAAGCTTTTACACACAGAGACTTTTACACACAGGCGCTTTTACACACAGAAGCTTTTACACACAGAAGCTTTTACACACAGAAGCTTTTACACGCAGAGGCTTTTACACACAGGAGCTTTTACACACAAAAGCTTTTACACACAAAAGTTTTTACACACAAAAGCGTTTACACGCAGAAGCTTTTACACACAGAAGCTTTACACACAGAAGCTTTTACACACAGAAGCTTTTACACACAGACAGAAGCTTTTGCTCACAAACACTTTTACACACAGAAGCTTTTACACACAGAACATTTTGCACACAGAAGCTTTTACTCACAGAAGCTTTACACACACAGAAGCTTTTACACACAGACGCTTTTACACACAGACGCTTTTACACACAGACGCTTTTACAGACAGATGCTTTTACACACCGAAGCTGCTACACACGGAAGCTCTTACACACAGAACCTTTTACACACAGACACTTTTACACAGAGAAGCTTTTTAGACACGGAAGCTTCTACACACAGACGCTTTTACACACAGAAGCTGCACATCAAATTCCCTTGGGGCCACCTCTCTATGGCCGGCGGGCTTGCCGAAGGCAATTAAACAGATCAGGATAATGATAGAGCTTGATATGGGGGATAATGATGATTAATAATAATAATCCAGTTAATCATTCCATCATTCTTCCCAGTCTTAGGACATAATGTGAATAATGATTAACTGGGGACCTCAATGGGACCTTAATGATGAATAACTGGGAGTAATATATGGCCTAATTTATGGCTTAAGATATGGATTGATATATTCATCTTGCTTGTGATTTAGTTGTGATCGTTCCCCGGGATTGAAGAACTGGCTGAGAAGTATAGTTGGTTCACTCATAGATGGGATAAGCCACTAGTGATAGGAGACTTGTGCTCAAAAGGGCGATGAACATCTCAAGGATATCTACGGATTCTGGACCGGCCCAAACTTATTTTGGGACATTCATCTCAGTGGCTCCCTGGAGATATGACACCTTGGACCCTGGCACGGCCGGCACAGAACCTCCATTGATCCAGCCGTACTGAAGTACTTGAGGCATGAACTACGTCAACTTCTCAGCAGCTAAGGGTCCACAAGGGATGGGGCTCAGGAAAACACAGCACTTCGCACATCTGAAAACGTGGTGAGTAGGTAGTCCCTTACAACCTGCAACTAGTTAAGAAGTTTTCGGATTACAATTCGGCGATCCAGTTCCACTTCTAAGCGAGCATAGTGCGGCCCCATAGCCGTTAACCTGGAGTTGTACAATTAGGTTTACAAACTCAACGCGAAAACCACTCCTAAATTCAATTCAGAAATATATTCCAATGCCACTATCTAGTATCAAAACACCCCAATTCAGAATACTGGGTGGGTGGCGCTTCAGAACCGCATCTGATTTGGTGGATTCAACTCACCACAGAAGAGCCAGTGGCAAACACCGTTCAGTTTGCTTTCAAACTACCGATGTTTTGACTGGCGAACTCCTTATACGAATTGTTATTTTTTGTCATGTTAAGTCTGCATGAATTTTATGGGTAACATCCCAATTTGTCTGGAAAAAACATATCTGCTGATGACAAAGCCAGGCAGCAGTGAGCAAATCGCGCTCATGAACTTCATCTACGATGACCATGTTGCACTGCCTCCACCCGGGCAAGCCGATTGGGAGGCGGTTTCACCCACTTTTGTGGCTCGAAAATGCGGATGGAAGCAAGAGAAGATGGGGATGTAACCCGCAACAACTGGAATTCAACCAAGAGAAATGCCGACTTCACAAACACACACTGGGAATTTCTGCCGTAAAAAAATGATGTATTACTTGACGAAATGATGAATTTGACACTAGAAAGGTGAATTCAATCAAGACAAATGGGGATCTGCATCCGTGAATCAACCAATAAATACAGCCTGCTTGGTGGTTTCAACCTTAACATTTCTGAATTCCATACAGAGATAGTTTTCAGGGATCCTCTAAGGGAATTGCAGCAACAAGTTCTACTTGCCATGGGGGCATGTGCTAATATCTGGCCTAATACCTGCTTGGCATCATTTGGCTATTGCTTGGGTATTCTATACTATGTTCCCATTTATGGCTATATTGGGGATGGTTTTAAAATTGGTAAACTACCAGATAATCAAAAACTCTGAGCTCTGCAGCTGGAGAAGTGCACTGCACGTCGTAGGAAGGCTGTGACCTTGGAGCCTTGTGATTAAACACAAAATCTTCAGAAACATTAGAGGAGTCACTACCAAGACCCTCCAAAGACCGAACAATGGCAAACAAATACTAAACGTTTGGAGTAAAACAGCCATTCTTGTGGGTACTTGGAGGGTTTGTAGGTATATATGACTTCCACTAGATGCTTGTTAAACATGGGATGAACACCCCAGATTACTGGTTCCCATCCTGATTCTGATGTCCATTTGTGGTATCGCCTGTGTGATTTCCAAAGGTACCTCTAAAAACTCCAGTCTCTAGACTATATTCCAAAATTACAAATATTGAAGAGCTATGTAACTCCTAGATTGTTTGGAGACATCCGCACGAAAAATCACGATTCTGCTGGTCAAATCCCGCTGTTGAATCCCAGATGGGATTGAACTCATCTCTCACTCCATCGCATGGCGAACCAACCAGATACCCAGCATGTGCTATCATTTTTGGCTGCTTCATCTTGCATAATATTATATCTGGTTGGTGGTATACCTAGCCCTCTGAAAAATCATGGAGTTCGTCAGTTGGGATGATGAAATTCCCAATAGATGGAAAGTCATAAAATTCATGTTCCAAACCAGCAACCAGTACATAAATATATAAAAATGTATTCTGATGACAAAGTTCGGCCATCCATTCGGGGATGATTCCCCGATATCAGCCATCATTCCGGTGACGTCCACCAGCGGATTGGAACATCCCAGCCACTCTAAGGTGATGTCGCTCACAGCACGTCGCAACAAGGTGCCCACTGTGACGTACTCAATGGAACCCTGCCAAGTGGATCATTTGTTTGCGATTTCCATTGAGTACTGCAAATGATCCACTGCAAACATGGGAATGTTTGAGTGGGACTTGTTTTGCCAAGCTATCATGATGGGAATGAGGATTTTGTTGGAGGTTTACCAGCAAAACTTGGGATATGGGATCGGATATAGCGATGGACGAGAATGAGGACCGTGCCTGCGGGGACTTATGATCAAAAATCAAATTTTTATCGGGATAGTAATCATCCACAACGAATGATTTACCCCACAATGAATGATTTGTTGCGGGAAGAAGTAATCAATACAATGTGTGTATGATAACGAGGATAATATTGGCGATTCATTGATTGGGATTCTGCCGAATTGGGACCGAACTCCTTTGCATCCCATATCCGATGGATGTTACCATCAGAAATGCGTATGCGCCAAATATGGGTATGCCATAATCATCCAGTCTGTCTTTTTCGGGTCACTAAGGTGTGTTACGCAGCGGGTTTGTTGGAAACCCGCTGCCATCATGCAGTCCCTGAAAATTCTGTGTGGTGAGCAAAATGGTATTCTCCAAGCACTTCTCAGCCTCTCAGCTACAATTTTCGCACAAGAAACTATGTTGGATATACCTTCAGGTAGTCAAACACGGCAACTTACGATATCCGTAATCAATTATAATAAAAATATATAAAAATATAAACTATACATGAAGAACTTATTGGGAAAATCCTCTATAAATGGGGAATTTTCTATTGGCATGTTTGATTACCAGAGGGTACATATCTTGCCTCGCTGCTCTGCGGTCTCACCATCTCCTGAAGGGCTGTCTAGATGCAAGGATTATTGATCTAACATGGGATTTTGCTGTAAGCATTAAAAAAACATGTGAAGAGATGTGAAGAGATGGGATTCAAACAGAAAATATGGTGAACAATTTTCTTGATCTAAGAACATGTCTAGGATCAAACGCTGGGACATACATGGATACAATCAATCGACATGCGGGGTATAAACTCAACCCTTCGGAATATCATGGGGATGGGATCTGGAACCGGCAACCATGTGCCGAACATATGATAAACATGATGTCATTATATGTCATTCACAACAGCTGATTTTGAAAAGTCCTCCTGGACACTCGGCAGTGCCCTGATGATTTCAACCCATCACCATCATCGTATTGTATATGACACAGTGGTAAATATTATAATAACCAATTAATAGCCATCATATACCATGATAACTAAGTATGATTCACTATACCATCATCATCATAGTTTGATTTGCAAAGATTCATATCTTGGAAACCAGCAATAGGAGTGGATGTCGCCCATTCAAATACCTTTTAGTTTCAGCACACTGAGGTTACACTGGAGCAACGCCGCCGACTCGAACCCCATGATGTGGTTCAACCTCCCAGATCAACTTGAGTTTGTTGGGATCATCATCCCATTTCTATCGGCAAAAACAGCCTTATATATCTGGTTGGTGGTTTTAACCATCTTGAAAAATATGAAAGTCAATGGGAAGGATTATCCGATATATTATGGAAAAATAAAAAAAACTCCAAACCACCAACCAGTATATATATATGAAACCGCAAGTTGGGACGCATACATGTTCTCATCGAACATTGATATTTTCCCCATGACAAATCATCTTTTTCCCATGAGAAAAACAAGGTAACACGGACTTACACAACCGTGTGTTTTTGACATCCATGTGCCAAAACGCCTCACGTTTTGTCATTTTTTCAATGACCAATTTCTACATCAGACGACGAAAAGTTTCAAGAGCCTTTTTTTTCCATCTCGCATGTGGTCGCCATGTCTCACTTAGACATGTTGTGGCGATAGATCCACTGATAGATTCTATCCCAGAATCTAGCATTGATGGTTGGGCCAGTGCGGTTCTTCATCTGACTGGGGCAATTTTTTTTGAGGTGGTTCCAACAACGATCAATTTGTTGGGTTCTTGCAACTTTCGTCTTTGTGCAAGCGTGCAAGAACGTTACATCAACGTAGCATGACGTAGTTCCGCAAGCGTGCAAGAACGTTACATCAACGTAGCACTGCGTAGATGTGCAAGCGTGCAAGAACGTTGCATCAACGTAGCATGACGTAGTTCCGCAAGCGTACATGGACGTTATTAGCCCACCCCACCCCACCCCACCCCCCCACTTATACTATCCATGTGCGGTGACAACAAAAATCTCAACGCCTACACGGTTGTAGAAATACGTGTCACCAAAAACAAGAAGTTGTCCTCACTAAAACCGTCCTTGCAGTGCCGAGGACTAGTTAGTATAACCCAGTTCTAAAAAGTCCCCCGATTCCTGGGTCATCCCACTTGGAAGTTTACAACTGGCTGAACTAACTCCACAAACTTTCACCATTTACCATCCACCGGGGTGATCCTCCCCAACACCCTATCGCAGTCTCATTCCCATCCCCGTGCTCAAGTCCTTATCTGAACCCCCCAATTTCCACGGTGAAATCCCGCAGTTCCTAGGCCCACTCGGGCCCCCATCATTGCCACGCCACGCCGTGCACGGAGTATCCCACAGTGTCCCCAAGGCGTCCGCCGCGTTCCCAGGCCACCCGTTCCGCCACGCTGATGGCGGCGATGCGCCGCGGCTGCGTCACCACGACACGTGGTGGGTCCGGGGAACGCCAGTCGTCCAGAAGGAACTGCGGCAGCTGGGTGGTTTTGCCTTAGGGAAATGGAAACTTCACGTGAGAGTTGAAGGAGATTTTAGGACTTGAGGAAAACTGGTGTCAAACGTATGACTTTTTTTTTTGATTTTGAGGAACGAACAAGACAAGAGTTGAAGGACTTTGTGAGATTTGGAGAGAGATTTGTTAGGAGGAACCACCAGAACAAACAATTGGATAATGTATATATATATATATATGATATAGACTTATTAGGGAGCTCAGAGGAGCAAATGGGATTTGATCAGCACAATTGGTCAGCCAGTTTGGTTGGTGGCCCAAATCGCCTCAGAAATAAATTGGAGCAAAATCAGTTCAGAGAGGGGCAATAGCAACGCATCCTAAAATGGACAACTTTTCAGGGGCAAAATTGTTTTAACATACTTGAAAACCAAAATTCAAAAGAAAATGAGGGGGGGGCCTTTCTCTGATCCTTTTGACCGTGGTGGCTGGCCCAACATGTCTGTTTTCATGAAGACGTGGTCTGACACCTGTGAATTTCTGGATGATACTTGGTATGAAGAACAGGCAAATTGTTTGATCGTAACCTTTTTTTCTTCATCATCTCAGTAGCATGTTCTCCCCCTTTTCAGACACACCCAACAACATATACTTTGAAAATTAGGCATTAGCAAAAGCAATAGCTGTTTGAAAGATGAGATCGCGTAGTTGCACATGGTATGTGCCGATAAACATACATCGCAGTTGCAACATGTTGAGGTAATCCCGTCTCCAAGATTTCTCCAAGAATGAAACATACAAAACACATGAACCAGCACCACAAACTCAACGCCAGGTCTTCCAAGCATTTCTCGTCCATCCCCACATCAAGTTGCCACTGCCGGTCCCACCAGAGACAACCAAGACTTGTGTGTCTTGCAGAATTTGACCCAGGTCAGGTCCTGAGCCGACTCAGTTTCTCGGTGACCATTGCGGGGCGTTGCTGGATTTCACCCGAGATTTGGAGATGGACATGGTGGATTTTCACCACCCTTTTATGGGAGCAGGTAGAACATGGTAGAACTGTAGAACCATGTTCTTTTTTGTGGGCATAATCTAGTTTTGGCGGAAGGTATAAGAAAAGAATTGTTGCCTGCAGGACCAAGACCAATCAAAAACAAAAAACTCATACAATATAGAAGGCGCGTAACACTCAATTACTCTTCGTCTTGCAAGCCAGGACAGAACAGTAGTAGTGAAACTTTCAATGAATCAACGATATAGACATAACATTGTGACAGTATGAAACGAACATTATGAAATTAACATGTCAGTATTGAATTTAATCCAGTCATCCTGCAAACTAGCAAATTCATCAACTTCCAGCCTTGGACCATCTACCCAAATCTGTGGGTCCATGAGATTCGCTTTAAGATACTTCACGGCCTATGCCAGGAACCTCCGGGGGTTGACATGGAATACCCTCTGGTAATCTGTTGGTTGCGACATGGAAAATCACCATTTTTGATAGAGTAACGGTAAATCATTGATTTTCTATAATTACACAAATGTTATAGTTTGCCGGAGGGTTTTTATCCCATTCAGAAATCCCCATATTTTTATTGGTTCAATCCCTATGAATGACGATAAAGTCCCAAGAAATTCCAGAAAAATGCCTCGTTTTGGAGGGTTCAATCCTTAAATCCCACTGATCCAAGCCGCTAATCTGCTCGATGGGAAGTGCTCCGCGCAGCTCTGGGCGTCTTGGATCCTCACCCAGGAAGGGCGATCATCCAAAATCATGAAGTATATAAGTCAAAGATCTTGCTCCATTGGCAAGAACCAGGTAGACCAAATGCATTTTTTCATTTATGTTTTTCTATGTAAGACTATTGAAATTGGAAAGACGCGGAACACAACTTTTGCCAAAGACCGCTATAAGAAAATAGTCTTGGACATACAGGGTATGCTATAGTAACGTAGTATTCCCCAAAGAAATAGAACAGGATTTATCACCTGGTAGGAATTCACTGCTCTATCTTTTTTGGGGATGATGATAGACTATAATAGTCTCACCCTGGAGTAGACCCTCCAAATAGCCAAACAACATGAAAAACAGTACCAAAATTATGGGGTAACCACTTTATTATGGGTACAAAGGGAGAGGTCAGGCAGGCATCCTGGAATAGAGTATGATCATTTCAAACACATAGCCATAAAATGGGAACATGATTGAACATCCCAATCAACTTCAGCATGTGTTTTTGATATACATATATATAGTGACGGACAATCACTTAGAACGTATTTTGGAATTTTTTTTCTGAATATTACTGCTTTTTTTACGTTCTAAGCCTTGCACTTAGAACGTCGAAAACCGTACACTTAGAACGTCCAAATATCAAGATTCATCACTTAGAACGTACCGGGGATTTAACACTTAGAACGTGTCTAGGTCACTGATGATAGTGGAAAGGCTTGTGAAATCTTTTATCTCTAAGTGTTGGATCCAGCAGCTAATTCCGTAGGAAACATAGACATAATTTCGTACCATTTGGCTTTTCCCTCCCATATGATGTGCAAATATTGGCGATCTTTTATCTCTGGAACACTATACCTTTTGGTGCTTTTTGGGGGTTCTGAGTTCTGATGTTCTAAGTGTTGGATTCAGCAGCTAATGCCGTAGGAAACATAGACATAATTTCGTACCATTTGGCTTTTCCCTCCTATATGATTTGAAACATTGGCGATCTTTTATCTCTGGAACACTATACCTTTTGGATCCTTTTGTTGCTTTTTGGGGGTTCTGTCGTTCTAAGTGTTGGATTCAGGAACTAATTCTGTAGGAAACATAGACATAATTTCGTACCATTTGGCTTTTCCCTCCCATATGATTTGCAAATCTTGGCGATCTTTTATCTCTGGAACACTATACCTTTTGGATCCTTTTGGTGCTTTTTGGGGGTTCTGACGTTCTAAGTGTTGGATTCAGCAGCTAATTCCGTAGGAAACATAGACATAATTTCGTACCATTTGGCTTTTCCCTCCCATATGATTTGCAAATATTGGCGATCTTTTATCTCTGGAACACTCTACCTTTTGGATCCTTTTGGTGCTTTTTGGGGGTTCTGACGTTCTAAGTGTTGGATTCAGCAGCTAATTCCGTAGGAAACATAGACATAATTTCGTACCATTTGGCTTTTCCCTCCCATATGATTTGCAAATATTGAATTGGCGATCTTTACCTCTTGAACACTATACCTTTTGGTGCTTTTTGGTGGTTCTGACGTTCTAAGTGTTGGATTCAGCAGCTAATTCCGTAGGAAACATAGACATAATTTCGTACCATTTGGCTTTTCCCTCCTATATGATTTGCAAACATTGGCGATCTTTTATATTATCTCTGAAACACTATACCTTTTGGTGCTTTTGGGGGTTCTGACGTTCTAAGTGTTGGATTCAGCAGCTAATTCCGTAGGAAACATAGACATAATTTCGTACCATTTGGCTTTTCCCTCCCATATGATTTGATTGGCGATCTTTATCTCTGGAACAATCCTTTTGGTGCTTTTTGGGGTTCTGACGTTCTAAGTTGGATTCAGCAGCTAATTCCGTAGGAAACATAGACATAATTTCGTACCATTTAGCTTTTCCCTCCTATATGATTTGACATTGGCGATCTTTTATCTCTGGAACACTATACCTTTTGGATCCTTTTGGTGCTTTTTGGGGGTTCTGACGTTCTAAGTGTTGGATTCAGCAGCTAATTCCGTAGGAAACATAGACATAATTTCGTACCATTTGGCTTTTCCCTCCCATATGATTTGCAAATATTGGCGATCTTTTATCTCTGGAACACTATACCTTTTGGATCCTTTTGGTGCTTTTTGGGGGTTCTGACGTTCTAAGTGTTGGATTCAGCAGCTAATTCCGTAGGAAACATAGACATAATTTCGTACCATTTGGCTTTTCCCTCCCATATGTTTTGCAAATATTGGCGTTCTTTATCTCTTGAACACTATGCATTTTGGTGCTTTTTGGGGGTTCTGACGTTCTAAGTGTTGGATTCAGCAGCTAATTCCGTAGGAAACATAGACATAATTTCGTACCATTTGGCTTTTCCCTCCCATATGATTTGCAAATATTGGCGATCTTTTATCTCTGGAACACTCTACCTTTTGGATCCTTTTGTGCTTTTTGGGGGTTCTGACGTTCTAAGTGTTGGATTCAGCAGCTAATTCCGTAGGAAACATAGACATAATTTCGTACCATTTGGCTTTTCCCTCCCATATGATTTGCAAATATTGAATTGGCGATCTTTACCTCTTGAACACTATACCTTTTGGTGCTTTTTGGTGGTTCTGACGTTCTAAGTGTTGGATTCAGCAGCTAATTCCGTAGGAAACATAGACATAATTTCGTACCATTTGGCTTTTCCCTCCTATATGATTTGCAAACATTGGCGATCTTTTATCTCTGAAACACTATACCTTTTGGTGCTTTTGGGGGTTCTGACGTTCTAAGTGTTGGATTCAGCAGCTAATTCCGTAGGAAGACATAATTTCGTACCATTTGGCTTTTCCCTCCCATATGATTTAATTTCGTGGAACACCATTCTGGCTTTTCCCTCCATAGACATAATTTCGTACCATTTGCATATGATATTGGCGATCTTTTATCTCTGGAACACTATACCTTTTGGGTGCTTTTTGGGGGTTCTGACGTTCTAAGTGTTGGATTCAGCAGCTAATTCCGTAGAAACATAGACATAATTTCGTACCATTTGGCTTTTCCCTCCCATATGATTTGCAAATCTTGGCGATCTTTTATCTCTGGAACACTATACCTTTTGGTGCTTTTTGGGGGTTCTGACGTTCTAAGTGTTGGATTCAGCAGCTAATTCCGTAGGAAACATAGACATAATTTCGTACCATTTGGCTTTTCCCTCCCATATGATTTGCAAATATTGGCGATCTTTTATCTCTGGAACACTATACCTTTTGGTGCTTTTTGGGGGTTCTGACGTTCTAAGTGTTGGATTCAGCAGCTAATTCCGTAGGAAACATAGACATAATTTCGTACCATTTGGCTTTTCCCTCCCATATGATTTGCAAATATTGGCGATCTTTTATCTCTGGAACATTATACCTTTTGGTGCTTTTTGGGGGTTCTGACGTTCTAAGTGTTGGATTCAGCAGCTAATTCCGTAGGAAACATAGACATAATTTCGTACCATTTGGCTTTTCCCTCCCATATGATTTGCAAATCTTGGCGGTCTTTACCTCTGGAACACTATACCTTTTGGTGCTTTTTGGTGGTTCTGACGTTCTAAGTGTTGGATTCAGCAGCTAATTCCGTAGGAAACACAGACATAATTTCGTACCATTTGGCTTTTCCCTCCTATATGATTTGCAAACATTGGCGATCTTTTATCTCTGGAACACTCTACCTTTTGGATCCTTTTGGTGCTTTTTGGGGGTTCTGTCGTTCTAAGTGTTGGATTCAGCAGCTAATTCCGTAGGAAACATAGACATAATTTCGTACCATTTGGCTTTTCCCTCCCATATGATTTGACATTGGCGATCTTTTATCTCTGGAACACTCTACCTTTTGGATCCTTTTGGTGCTTTTTGGGGGTTCTGACGTTCTAAGTGTTGGATTCAGCAGCTAATTCCGAGGAAACATAGACATAATTTCGTACCATTTGGCTTTTCCCTCCCATATGATTTGCAAATATTGGTGATCTTTTATCTCTGGAACACTATACCTTTTGGTGCTTTTTAGGGGTTCTGACGTTCTAAGTGTTGGATTCAGCAGCTAATTCCGTATAGGAAACCTAGACATAATTTCGATTCCACTTCGAATTCCAATTTTCTGCAATATTTTAATTGCGTTATAAAAGGAAATTCAATTGATTTCGAAAGCGAAAAAACTAGTCTTTTTATTAAGGGTTTAAATTTATTATTAGGATCCGCTTCGAAATCCAATTTTTGGCAATATTTTAATTGTGTTATAAGGAAATTTACCTGATTTTGAAATCGAAAAAAACGGTTTTTCTTATTAAGGGTTTAAATTTATTATTTAGGTCCGCATCGAAATCCAATTTGTGGCAATATTTCAATTGCGCTATATAAGGAAATTTAATTGGTTTTGAATCGAAAAAAATAGTTTTGTTTTATTAAGGGTTTAAATTTATTAGGGTCCGCTTCGAACTCTAGTGTTTGGCAATAGTCTTATTGCGTTATAAAAGGAAATTTAATTGATTTTGAATCGAAAAAACTAGTCTTTTTATTAAGGGTTTAAATTTATTATTAGGATTCGCTTCGAAATCCAATTTTTGGCAATATTTTAATTGCGTTATATAAGGAAATTTAATTGATTTTGAAGTCGAAAAAAATAGCCGCTTTATTAAGGGTCTAAATTTATTATTAGGGTCCGCTTCGAAATCCAATTTTTGGCAATATGTTTAATTGCGCTATATAAGGAAATTTAATTGATTTTGAAATCGAAAAAATAGTTTATATAGCGACGGACAATCACTTAGCACGTTCTAAGTGTTGGTTTACGTTCTAAGTGATAAATGGGCCTAAGTGATATTTTGACGTTCTAAGTAGTGATGAATTTTCCCTACGTTCTAAGTGATGAAATTTTGCTACGTTCTAAGTACGAAAAAAAAATGGAAAAAATTTTACGTTCTAAGTGATTGTCCGTCACTATATATATATATATTATGATCCTTGGACATATTAGTTTAATACTTAACATGTTTGTCGTGTTTGATTGCCAGAGGGTAAATACTTGTCTAACGTGATCGACATTTGGAGCGTGTTTGGGGTCCATGTTGGTAAATGTCTGGCATAGATGCACTAGTTGGAGTACTCAATCATTGTTCCAAAATGGGAATGCACCTCCTGTAACATTGCCAAACACATTCCCAACTGAACAAACCAAAACAGGAGTCAGGTTCGCTTCAGGCACCGCTAACAATCTGAGTCCAATAGAAGCACGGACATGATATCTGCCCTATGCATCCGTGTGTTCTGAGGCAGCCATTGGTCTACAATCTTAAGGGCAAAGTACCTTCTCAGCCGATCATTTTTCATCCATCCAAACATCTAATTATACCGGACAAACCCTATGAGTTTCTATCTGGTTTCTATATGATTTCAACCCCCCATCCCCAACCCCAACCCCCCCAACCCCCCCATCCCCCAGGTCCTTGTCCCTGGGCGTCACCTCGAAGTCCCGCTGCACCGTGCGGCTCGCACCCGCACCCTCGGCCGCGGTCCCCGCGTTGGCGTCCGCCAGGCGGCGGCCTTGGGACACCAGGGACCAATGGGGCTGAAGTTTTAGGGGAGCCCATTGGAAAATAGGGAAAATCAAGGGAAAATCATCCATCGGAATATGGATTTTCATTCCGGGAGAATGTGGGAAAATTTAAATGAATATTACCATCCATTGGACTTGGGGATGTTGCCTATTTTCAGATTTGTTCATGTTGATGTAAAGATGATGATGTTTTATCTATATGATTAATCAGCATCTTTAAAAGAAAAACCATCATAAGTAATCTATATTAGATGAATTATGTTCCACAGTTATTTTAATAGTATTCGATATGTATATATATATATAATTATATAATTGGAATATAATTGGAATATGGAATATTAATGGAATCTAAATGGGAATATCATGGGATAACAATAAGGACTAGCTACCCTTCAGTGACATCAACCGTGGCTGGGACATCCATGTTCCATTGCCGCCTGGGATTGCCGAGGGTAGCTATTTACATATACAGCTGTAGTATACCATTGGTTAATATACTGTTAATAATGGTTAATATTAATGGTTATTATAGGGTTAATGATGGTTAATAATAATGATCTGGTTGGTGGTATCTCAATCCATCTGAAAAATCATGGACTTCGTCAGTTGGGATGATGAGATTCCCAACTGAATGGCAAAAGAAAATGCATGTTCCAAACCACCAAGCAGGTACTATATAACACCCCCAATTTAAGATAGCAAAAGGGAAATCGTAAAAACAAACTGACAAAATACATGTGTATCTTCGGAGGTTGCTGTAGGAATATGATATAGTCTGTCATCCGTATTATAATGCTACAATGCTACTTAAAGCTATCTTGATGGCTTGTGTCATCAGACAATCGACATGGGATGTTTCATTTGGATAGTTCAACAATAATTAATAGGACATGCCATGAAGATAACATGTTGATTTATCACCCAGCAGAATGGAGGATGTAACCCCACAAAAAGAATCCAATAGATATAGAAAAGTAAAATCCAATTCCAAAATTGCTGCTCTCCTAAATTAAACCTGCTCAAGCGAAGAATCATGGGGGATTTGACCAACCATAATGAAGCTTGAACCAGATAACCAGCAAAACTGGTTGGTGGTTTCAACCCCTCTGAAAAATATGAGTTCGTCAGATTGGATCATCATCCCAACTATTGGGGAAGTCATAAAAGCCATGTTCCAAACCACCAACCAGCAAAACATTGGGGATTTACCCTCCGGTAAACTAACAGTTTGCGATTGAAAATGACCATAGAAATAGTGGATTTTCCCATTGAAAATGGTGGATCTTTCCATAGTTTTTTGTATGTTTATCAGAGGGTATAACATGTTATAACATCTATAACGGTGATTTCATCATGGGACATACATGGACATACTGGGGACCAGCTTGATATGTTTTTCGTTTGGCCACCGCCCAAAAATGGTCCTTTCATCGAGCAAAAAAACTTGTATTCAACCAACAAAGCCGAATTCATGAAGATACAATGGCTGGTGGGTTGTTGACCTACTCTGAAAAATCATGGATTTCGTCAGTTGGGTTTATGAAATTCCCAACTGAATGGAAAGTCATAAAAGCCATGTTCCAAACCACCAACCAGATGGGATATTGCGGGGGACCATCAGAGTAGCGAGAAACATCACATCCAACATCAGTTTTTTTTTTAACGGCGATTGACAGCACCTCCAACTGACGATATGATCTTGGAGAGTTGTACACATCCCCTGGTTTATCATCGTTTTCCCATTCGCATTCGGGTATTCCTGATGTTAACACACACACAACCAGCATATTGGTGCTTATACCCTCTGGTAAACTAACATAGCTATTGAAAATCACCATTTTGAATAGGTAAATCAACTATAAATGGTACATTTTCAATAGCTATGTTAAATTACCAGAGAGTATGTCCAATTATAAACGTTTACAAAACCATCAACTCCCTATCCCTATGAATAGATTGTTCTTTAGGTCAAATCACCAGAAACTCACCATATCAACCACCAGTCCTCGCTTCAAAGCTACATCGTAAGGCTTGAGCATCTGCCAGGATTTGCTGAGTAGTCTTCCAACGCGACTCACCTGAGATTTGTATGATTTGTCTAGGGAATTCCATGGGATTGCCATAGGAAAAAGCACGGGAAATCCATGGAAAATACTGAGATGATCATAAAAAATCATGGGTTTATATGGGTTTATACCCTCTGGTTGTTCAACATACCTATGGGAAAATCGATGAAGATGGGCCATTTATAGATGCATCATGATTTACCTATAAGCATGGCGATCTTCCATAGCTACGTGATAGAACCAGAGGGTAGAATAAGGATGAGTAATTGGTGGGTTAGTCATGGCATCTTAAGAGCTTGGGGTACACCCAAAGCATCCATATCAAAATGAGGCTTGTTAAGTACTGAAACAACCATAAGCGGCTTAGGTACCCATATTTTGAGAAATGGCCGGAGATTTGCTCATGCAACTCTGAAGGACGTCAATCCAGGTGATACCCTGGTAGTGCTAAAGGGCAGAAAAGGATTTTGAACAAGTACATCAGCATCAACATAACCGGGGATCAAATTCAAACCCTATACTATATAATAATTTGACTTGTATAATTATAATCACTTGTATATATATATATATATGATTATATATGTCAACCCCAGATTAATAAACCATGGTTTATTAATTAGGGGATACTCCTCCAATAGTCACAATCTAATCTAATATTTAAACGGTACCTTCCCAATTAGACAGCCTAGGGGTTTATTGATCCAGGGTTTACATTATTGTGTTCTTGGTTTGCGGGAAGGTTAGTGGTTTTGGGAAAACACGCGGAGGCTTCAATCTTGAACCACGCAACATCTTTTCAGCGGATTCATGCACAACAACGGCTTTGAATTGTTGATATCTTCATCAATTTCCTGCAAGCAAAAACGCTGGCAAAAACTCTTTCGTTTTTTGGTTTCAAGTTTCAAGGCACCAAGCAACATTTTAAGGCAGTCTGTTTCTTTTTTTGGGTTTCAAGTTTCAACCCATCTGTTTTGGGTACATATATGATATATCTTCAGGATTTCCTGCCAAAAAAAAACATCAAGGCATCACTCATCCTTAGGCATTCCCAAAAAGGCCCAGCCACTGGGCAATAGTCTCAGAATTTCATCCTCATCACCTCGACAGGAGACTTTTGTAGAAACGGCAGGGATGTTGAATCGATCGTTTAACATTTATTTCACGTGAGTAATACATAGTACCCTCCAGTAAATTAACATAGACCCTGCCAAATAGGGGTTGGAAGATGTGTTTCCACTATAAATTGGTCATTTTCAGGGTCTATGTTAATTTACCAGGGGGTTAATACCTATAACTTGATGTTATAACTCTTAGACCATGTCTATACATAGGATGATTTATATGAATGATTGGCCGTAACGTGCCCGTACAATTATGCATGTGTAAGGTGAAGGCAAAACATGTTCAGGATATATATATATATAATAGTTAATATATATATATATATATATCAGGGATGCTCTTGGGTCAATACAAAGGTTTTATCGCAAGAAATGGGGTTGGAACATGCTTTTTCCAGTGGAACTTATGCATTGTTCGGGACCTTAGATTTCAGAACTGGGTTGAGTAGTCCAGTCCGGTGTATTGGGTATCCTGGGTATCAATCCATCGGCGATCCATGTTGCATGCCCAAAGCATGGTATTGGTCTGTTGGCAATTTGTCCGGTGGCGGGGTGCTTGAAAAAAACCCTTTGGTCTTCTGGACTCATATATTGACAATATAGCTAATAGCTTGTTTGCCAATAGACAAGGTCTCTATTTCAGAATTCCTGGTAGCGCTTGGATCTCCATCCCAACTGATAAGTTGACAACTTGACAACCGACACTTCCCACTTTTTGCTGCTGCAAAATCCGGGCTGATTACTATAGTCCCAAAATGGATCATCTAACAAGTTGACAGCGATGCTAAAAATGATCAATATATATGGATGGTTTGATGCTATATCATTATATGAACATAGCATCGCCAAGAATATCCAATCAACTTTCCGTGTTGGCCTTCAAATTCCATCCAAATTTAACCATTTTCGCTGGTGAATCATCCTACAAATCCCATTGAACCCCGGGAAATTGGACTCCATCCCAGCAAGAACATCACCATCAAAAACCAACATATGTTGCTTGATTCACCAATGTTCACCATATCTGTTGCTTGAATCACCTGTGTTGAAGCCCATTGAACCCCAACTGGTCAAGCAATATTTGTCAAATGGCTACTTCCAAGGTGCTTGTCTGTTTCCCCAAGCGCTGCAATCGCAGGATTTCGTGCTTCAGCACGCTGGTCCTGGCGAACTCTGGGTCTTGTGGTCTTAGTGGGAACAAAAATGAAAAAACATATCTATACCAACACAAAACAACATGTAAAAAGGAAAGCCTGTAATTATGTGAACATGAACACATATTTGGAACCACAACCAGTCCATACTTCACCCAAATCCCCCATCATCCCATGATCTTCCCATGTTTCATGCTTAAATTCCAAACATCCCATCAAAAATCCAGCTTTTTCATAGATGAAAGCCATCTAAATCCCATGAAAACCCTCATTTTTCGCTGTGAAAAAAAGCCGAAATCAGGCCCCCCAGGGCCCCCACCTACCGCTCCAGGGCTTCCCCAGCGACTCGCGGCGCTGTTCCCAGGTGGAGGCCCAAAGCTCAGGCTCATGGGGATCCCCCGCGGGCACGCGCATGTACCACCGGAGGCCTTGGCCGTGGCAGTTTGGTTGTGGAGATGTGGAGGGACTTTTTGGGTTGAAACTTGAAACCAGGATTTTTGAGGCTTGATTTTCAGTGATGTTCAGTTTGATTCATTGGGTTGATTCATACAAGTGACTTTGGAGTTGATTGATGTTGATTTAAAGGGCTTCCAGGCTGACTTCAAGGAACATCCACCGGAAAGTCCATGGCTTGATTTCCTTCAATCTTGGATCCAAGTAGTTATCCTCCTGTATTTTCACATAGCTATTGGAAATGGTCCATTGATGGACGGTTTAGCTATTTAAATGAACATTTTCCATGGCTTAAGGTGCTATACAAAGTGGTGCCCCATAGTTGGCTTATTTGGTGAACATAACTCCAATCACTATGGTTTATGGTAGATATATCTATACTATACTCCTATGGTTTATAAGCCAACTTATAACTGGGGGGGGCACCACCTTGTAGGGTCTCCATCACTTTTGATCGAGCAGCGGCTCATGAACATTTCGCCCGCCAGGGCCATAGCCACATTGCGATCATAGTCGGCAGAAGGGCCAGTGACGCGATGCTCCAAACACATGCCTTGAGAGGTCAAGGAATAGCTTTGGAACCTGAAAATGTAGGGAAAACATGGGAAAACTCCAAAAAACAATTTGTTAATCATCGTTCCTGATAAACTAGCCATCAATAAGGGGTATACCTGTATACCCCATTTTCCTCTATTTTGTGCTTGGCATTTCCATGCATTTCCATCATCTCAGGTCCAAGCTACAGGTGATGGCCGCCTGCCATGCCTTGCCACAGGGCTGGAAGGCGCTCAGATGGACATCTTCCAACTTCTCGCCCAGCACCGCCAGCGTTTCAGCCTCGATCCCATAGAAAACGACCAGAGAGTTCAATGGGGCCAGTTGTTTGAATAAATTCTCGAACTCATAAGGAAACAACACATCAATGATCATCAATGTATGTTTTTTTTATACGTGTTTCTCTGAGTGTCATGTTCTTCGAAACATCTGATATATGCGGGGTTAGCATTGAGAATAAACTCTTTTCAAGACTCCCAGATTATATGGCCATTTACCAGTTATAACTGGTTATAAATGGGATTATACAGTCTATAAATGGAGTTATAAGTACTTATAACTGATAAATGGCCATAACTGCAGATTATATGGGAATAATCCCGTCCAATGTTTTGAAACCATAGACAAAAGAGGGCAAATCGCACAATGTCAGGCAACAAACGACGATACAAACGACGATATGATTCTAATGAACCAATCACGACTATATATAATTGATACATATTGATACTACCCTCTGGTAAACAGACATAGCTATTGAACATGGCAATAGAAATAGTTGATTTACCCATTAAAAAATGTGATTTTCCATAGTTATGTTAGTTTACCAGAGGGTAATTGAATGTAATGGTTGAATACCAGCGGTGAGAAGCACCCATGGCCCATACATTCAAACTTCTCCAACTTTCTCAAGAAACTCTTAGGTTCCTAACTTCATCGGTTGGATTTATCGTTCCAAACTCTCCACTTGGGAATACATCCCAATTCTTAAGTGGTTCATAACCTGTGTAACAACTATAGGAAATATCACGGTATATCCCACATACAACTGGCATATTTGATGTGGTTGTGACCCACTGGCAATCCGGGAGCCACATCTGGCAATACTTGAGTCATTCCCATTACCCTTTATTGTGTCATCGAACATGGTGTGCTGGAAAATTCCCCTTTATTGATGTTCCCAGCTATAAACCTATAGGGATGTCCCAGGCCATGATCTCCCCATGTTGGGGGCACCCATGGCATGGCACGGAATCCCGCAGGGAACTGCTTGGATCGCCACGGCACCGCTTGGATCGCCGGAATCCGCGCCCCCGCGTGCACTTCGTGCTGCCGCACCGACAGCGCGCAGCGCCGCAGTTCCTCCAGGGGCTCGGAGGGGAAGAAGAGCCGCTCCAAGGCCTGGTTTCAGCGCAAACCAGGCAGGTTTTGGAGATGTCAACCCACAAACTTATGAGTATTTAAACATTAAACATTTAAGCCAACAAAAATCGAGAAAATGGAGGAAATGCGGCGATGTTTCATCATCTGCTTGGTGTTTTCCCACGTTTTCCCACCTGTTTGGCTGCCAGCTGCTTGGCATCTTCCCGTTTCACCGCGAGCCCCGCGCCCGTGACGAAGCCACAGTGGTGGACGTCGCAGGCCACCAAGGCGAAGAAGCGGCCGCGCTTCAGCTGCTGGATTTGGTAATTGATCTCCTTCAGCTCTCCTGAGATTTCACTCAGGATATAGTGGGTTAATCAGAAAATGTTTATGGCCTAAGTCTTCCTAAGCCATAGCTGGTAGAGTTGGATGATTCTTCTCCTCTATTGTCCTTCATAGGTTTTGAAGGAATCCCCATATCAATAGCCCCATGGATGTTATCCAACTTTGGTAAGAGATCACCTTACCAAGGTTTGTTGGGAACATAAATCCACAAGTTCAGCCCAAAAAAAGTTGGGTTAGATCACCCGTAATGGCGACTTAAAGGGGATAAACATATATGGATAAACTCTGTATCATCGGAAATATAGTAGTTTAGCAACTGGCTAGATTCCGGCTTGGGTCTCTTGTGAATCTCCTTCAACTCTCAGTGAGTTGACGGAGAATGTGGGGGATATCGATCTACATCTGGCACAAACAGCTATTCAGCTATAAAATTCCAAAGGCAACCAACCAGCTCTTTGCGAATTCATCATATCACTACAGTACAGTAGATTTATACTGAAAAACATATCACTATCATGATCTATATAAGTCATATACAATCATAAACAACTTGAATGCTAAGTTCTCACAAAATCCCGCTCCCCAGGGTCCGCATCCGCCGGTCCGCTCCGAGGCTCCCTTGACTCTCCAGGCGTCCAGCTGACTCACCGACGCATGAGAAATTTCATCAAAGTGAACTTCCATCAGCCTCGTTTCGGTGCTGCAGATGTTCCAACCAGAAAACCATGGAACATGACGAAAACAGACCCCTACTCAAAGACTATTATATATATATATATATATGTGGCAGGGACCTTTGGGGTCTATTTCGTTCCTCCTCGCACAAACGCAATCAAACGTCATTCTATATGCATATATACTATATACACAAGTAAATATGTCTACATGTGTGTACAAATTCAACAGAAAGTCGCAATTTTTTCCCTTGCCCCTCAACCTGCGCAGCGTCCGTTTTCTGCTCCAAGAGATGCTGTCACCAGCACGCGCGAACGCACGCCAATTTGAACTCTGGGCAGAAGAGTCCTCCAGTGTCAATTGTGTTGCTTTCCATCCCTGCAAGCTACAAAGTTTTAGAACATGCAAGTTTGGGACTCTTGTGCGCTCATGCATGGGAATGTTTTGGTTGTCAGGAGTTTGTAGTTGCAGTTGCAATCTTAGTATTAAGCATAGTTTTATAGAAAAAACCTTAAAGGAACCTCATGGGCATGTAACACAAGCAACAAAGCAATGCAAACATGTTCCACCACTTCCACCTGTAGTGATGAAGAGGGAGGGTGATGGCGGCCAACCCCCTTCATTTTGTCATACTCATCACTTCATTGTTTTTGGCCCCGCTGTCGTCCCCTCTCAGGATCCTTTGAATGAAGAAGAGTTGCAAAAGCAGACCTTGGACCTCTTGGTGAACTTTGCATACAGGCTGCAGATGGATGGCCTGATGCCTGACCTGCCAGAACAGCCACCAGGTGAGCCCAGTAGTGGATCTGGTTTTCTGCGAGAAGTGGAAGGTTCTAAAGCCAAACACCCAGGTGCACCACTACTTGAAGCTTCTATGGCAATGGCACCTGGCCCAAGTCCAGGTATCTGCGCGTCTTCACCAGCCAGTGCAACTACGGTTTTGCCAGTTCAACCTGATGTTGGTTTGTTGGCACCTGCCACTCCTGAAGTACCCCTTCTGAGGCTTCAGCAGCATGCATCCCCAAAGAACTACCTGGTCCAGTTCCAGAAGCAATGGGGGAGGTTGACCTGTACTCCTGACCAGGTGAAGAAGCTTCTTTATTGCACCAAACAAAAAGGCTCTCAAGCTTCGACTGGGCCGTCCTCTACTCAAGATGTATCTGATAGGAAATTCATACATTTTCTCAAGCATCATATGTTTCTATGGTTTTGCTTTCTGTGTGGGATTCAAGTTTCTTGATCTATGCATTTAGTATTGTTCATTCTCAGGTACCAGAGTTCGTGCCTCCTCGAGGAACTTCTAGTGGAGGTTGGTTCAGGAAAGTTTCTGGGCTAGTAGTTGCTTGGAAGCTTGGAGAAGCGCACAGGATGAGATGCCTACTATAACGATGGGAAGAGGTTTCACGGGTGAAGGCGTATGTGGCAGCTTTGGTGGGCTACGTCAAAAAGTGTGGATGGCAAAAGAACTTGGAGGGTGAGTATGGCTTGAACACTTGTACTCGCCTAAGATCTTACTGACTCCAGCAAAGCCTGGGTGGTTAAAAAAACCTTATATCAAACTATCAAACAGTAAGAATTTCAATTCTGTTTCTAAATTGAAAATAAAGCAGTCGCAATTTTCAATTCGGAAATCGAAATTGAAAATCCAACAGTCACCATTTCAATTCAGAACTTTAAATTGAAAATCAAACAGTCGCCATTTAAATTCAGAAATCTAATAGAAAATCAAACATTCACCATTTCAATCAGAAATCTACCTTGAAAATCAAACGATCACCATTTCAATTCAGAATTCCAAATTGAAAATCAAACAATCTCCATGTCAATTCAGAAATCTAAATTGGAAAACAAACAGTTGGCATTTCAATTCAGAACCTTAACTTGAACCTACAATAGTATATTGTTTACTTTTCAGATTTTGATATTAATTTGGTTTACTATTTGGCACAACTATCAAAAAAAATAATGTAGTTTTTACATAAGCAGCCTTTAGGGCTTTCATTTTTTTAGCCAAAAAGCACATTGATGCTTTCATTTTTTGAAGCTGTCACAAGTATAGCACATTGATGCTTCAGGTTTTGGTGTTCCATTAGTGCATCAGACATGTGTCCTTTGCATTTTTCTTGTCAAGGTGTAAGCTGTCAGGATGTCCAGTAATAGGGGTCAGGCACGGGGTTCAGCCACTGATCCAATGGTATCTCGACAGTTTCAAACCTGGACCTCATCCAATGGATGGAAGAGCCTCTGGTATGTCGAGATTCATCAATCAGGTTTTGATTCTTGGTTACCAGGTTGAAATTCATCATGTTTTTAAAGCATACGGGAACTCAGGTAGTATGAGGATAGACGTAAACAAATTGCTCGCTTGCTCAGGCAGGATGCTCTTGAGCACTTCAAGCAGAATGAAGGCCCACATCTTTTGCCTGCCAGCCTGAAGAACTTGATCAAAATCAGTTACATGTTGGCTGGGGTCCCTGTTCCTTCTGGCGATGCTATCTGCGCCTGATAGCTGCAGCTGTATGCCCATAGTGCATGGAAAGCCTGGATGAAAACATACTTGGGTGGAATCAAAATACTGTGGGGGGAGAATTTTTTTTTAAAAAAAACACCATGTGGTGTACTTGTTTTTTCTGGCCCAGTGGCCTTTCCTGCTATTTTGAAACTATTGTGGTTTATGCCCAAGGGGCTTTCATGTAAAGGTCCAGGGTTGGGTATGAGAGCCCACTGAAGTTTATATGCTTCTAACCTTAAAGGGTCCCAGAACCCATTCCCACCGACTCTTGCTACAGGTTTTGCTGATAGGGCTTTCATTTTATTTTGTAAACTAAATTGTTTCTGCCCAAAGGGGCTTTCATGTAAAGGCTTAAACTCCTTTATCCCATGCCCAAAGGAGCTGTCATAATTCTAACTTTGAAGGTTAGCAGAATCAATTCTCTTCTGCTTCTGCTGCAGTGGGCCCATAGGAATTGTGGGCTCACCTTAGCCTAGATCCTTTGATCACCATGGCTACTTGGGACGTTGAGGACTTAGTCAAGGAGATTAGTGATATGGAAGCGATTTACCAAAGGAACGCTGGTTCACAGCTGGTGCCACGAATGCAGGAAGCTTTGCAGTCCAAAGTGAATGGTGTCCAAATGCTCGCTGCTTCTAACTTCTTGAAGCGTCCTGATGCTGTTCAAAATGGCATCTTGACTGCTGACACGAAGGCAGAGTTGCAAGCATTTCTCGAATCAAGGGCAGCCTCTTCAATCCAAGGGGCCACCAGGTTGCAGGCTACACCTCAAAGCATGACCACGCCTTGGAACTACCTGTCCCAAAGCGAATGGCAGCAGATGCAGAATGGCATCAACACAGTTGATGCTACCCACATGCTGATCAAAAGAATCAAAGTGTGTGGGTTGAAAAGCCTCAAAGAAGACACCAAGAAGTACTTGACATCCTTTTTGGTCAGCCTTCAGGTGAAATCACCAATGTCTTGCCTCCAGTTTTTGACATGTACAAATTTTGTGCTGGATACGTTCGAGGCTGTGGTGGCTCAACCTCTGCATGCTGGTTTGGCAAGGTACCCACCTAGCCCCCACGACATTGGGGAGGCACTGGGTTTGTAGAATCTTTGGTGATGGCTGCTTTCAAGCTGATAATTTTGAAGTCAAAATTTAGCCATGACATAATCCCTGAACACACACACACACATGGACACGTATACATATTTCCATTTGAACATAAACACTTGCAGGCTTTCTGCTTGCTCGCTACCAGTCATATGATAAACCTTGGAAGCATTGCCAAGAAAGTCACAGTGAGCGGAACTGCCAAGGAACTCAGGGCTGTGGCCACTCCACAGGCAACCTCTCAGCAGTTGCCAGCAGAGCCTTCGACAGGGAAAGATCCTACAAACAGTATGGTGACCACCCATCTCTTTGACATGATGGAGAAACAGGCCAGAGCTTTGGATGCCTTGAGCCAGAAAATCTTGAACAATGATAGCTTGGAGAAGCCTCCTTCCAGCAACTCCTTGCTCTCAGATGGGGCCGGCCCAAGGGACTCCTGACTCCCAAAGCTTTGCCGGCAGTTCCAGCTGTTTTGCCTCTACCTGCACCTTCTGACTGTGCTGCACCTGCTGGAGGAAATGATGGCACCCAGGCAAAAGCCTTGAGGATTATGAAGCTGAGGCCAAACACATGCTCACCAAGAGGAAGGGCAATGATTTGGATACTGCCATGAAGAGGCCAGCTTCTAAGAAAACCCTAGCCAAAGCAGAGCCCAAGCAAAAGGCCATTGTGAAGAAGAATGCTGAGGAAGCAAAGCATGTCACACCAGCTTTCCTCAAAGGAATCTATGGATGTGTGAGATGCCGTGGCAGTGTGAGTGGCTGTGACAAGTGCCAGTCTCCCTACTTTGGGGGGACTCAGTCTCAGTTCAAGACAGGAATACAACAACTGGTAACAAGAAAGGCAGCAGGGGAACAAAAGGAAGTGTAAATATTTCCTTGGTCAGACAAAAGATCGTGGGCTGCCTTGTGGTAAATAACCATGCAAACACAGCAATGGTAAATCATACAGGCAGTGGGGGAAAACAGAAACGCTTAGGCTTTCTCTTGACATACTTATCTAGACATATTTTCCAGCATGAAAGTAAGTGACCACTAACTTGCAGTGCTGCCCTTGGTTCTGCTTGTTGTTTTTCAGTTTTGGCTTCAAGAGCTATCATTTGAAATCCGTTTGCCTGCAAGGGCTTTTTTGTTTGAATATGTTTGAATCAGTAGCACAGCATTGTGGGCACAGCTTTCTGCAAGGCTACTGCATGAAGCAAGGCCTGGCCCAAGGCAATGTGTGCCAAATCTGCAAATGACATATTTGGAGGCCATGTTAGCAGCAGGTTCCGCAGCAGGCCATGGAACACTAGTTTTTGCCTTTCACACAGTCATACTCCAACATTGTCCAAGATTACTTTTATCACCTTTCTGCAAAGAAATGCTTCCAGCCAGCCATGCCAGACTTTCCAAAATTGCAA